TCAGCCTTTATACAGTCAATTGCTGATCATGGACCTTCCTTATATTAGGAGGATCTGCTGTGATTGTAGCGTTTGGCAGGCGGATTGCCGTTGGCAATGGCAGGAGTCACACAACTTTGAGGCTGTTGTCTGAACATTTTGTATTCTGTTACAATTACGAGTTATGCAGCCATATATTAGATACTACGAGATCTCTCGAACATTAATTACTGAATTCGCCTCATACGTTACTCAATACTGAGATGGTACTTTGAATTCTCTTACTCCGCCTCCAAACTCGAATCTCTATCTAAATCTGGATATTAAATCCGCCTTGAAAATAGAAGGACGACGTAAGTAGCTCACGTAGCAAGCACAAGCTTGCCAATTTTGCCAAGAAACTTGCCAATAAATGCTATATTAACCTTGAGAGTATTAATAAAATAAAAAGATAGTAATCATGGCAGTCAACCATGTCTTATACAACTAGCCGCCAAAATATTAGAGTTCAATATATATTATTTTTTACGTTGTAGAGTCATGCTGCAGCTATATTAATAGTATAGTTGTAGCACGAATGGGTCGGCTCGACCGGGGACGGACCACGCTCTCACAGAATACCAGCATATAGCTATATAGCTAGTATATAGCTTAATGCTGCTGTGTTTCGTATGGTGAGTGTAGAAAACCGGAGACCTATTTTACTGGAAAAGAGGCATTCTATCTTAGTCCTCACGGCTGACCACGCATCTGCATTTTCATTCGCTAGCGAAGATAGATGTAGAGATGTCTATGGGCCACAGCAACCATCTTACCATCTAGTGGACTGAGTGCTCGTTTGTCACTATAATTCTATAAAAAAAAAATTGTATTTTGGAATCGAAAATCTGCAGATAATAATCGAGTTCGAAATAACAAGTGTCAGGTTATGCGGTGTATTTTATATGGTCGAGGAGGGCGATGGTGCAACATGTCTCACTTGTTAATAGGTGTTTATTGTGGAAACTAGTAGACTCGGATTTGTTATGTACCTACTCTCTTAATTTTGATGTCTAGATTCTTAAAAAAAAAAAGATTTCTCATTATGGATAATGTCGTCGCCTTTTATCTTACGGCACTAACAGGGTGAACTGGAATAATGGATTATCGTATCAAAGACTTACCTATTTATGTTTGACTGGTTATAAATAAATGATTAAAAAAAATGTGTCTAAAAATCATGATTTGGCGGGAACTTGAATTTTTGAACGGATTTTTTTTTAAGTTATTGTTTGAGCTATTGTTGAAAATAATGAAAAATAATTCCAATGATGGTATATATAAACATCAATTTGTTTAGGTGCCTATATAGAAGTACCGATTTCATAAAAGAGTTGTTTGTGCTGTCGTCGAAATCTCAAAAACTTCGCTGTAACATCATGTAAAAAATACACGTTAGTCTAGGCTGTATCGGCACAGATCTCTTTGCTTTTACCTAATAAAGAAAAAAAATGCGAAATAGTAAATAAATCGGAGTTGGTAAACAAGTAGCGGGAAATACTTTTATAATGCTAACTGATAAAGATATACAATTATTCAGTGATAATCTTTTTAAGCAAGATGGTGCTACAAATTCTAAAACAGGCATGTTTTTTCGGATGATTTACTTAATTTTAAAATTTAGCTCTTTCTCAATTAAAAAAAAATTGTATTGTATTATTATTTTTCAGATACATTTTGCAATGTTATGAAATTTTCTAAAGCAGACTTAGTAAATAGCGCGGTAACATCAACTAACGATAAATTTCCGCCGCATTTCGTTGACAATCGAAAACAAAACAATAAAAATGTGAAAAAGACCATTAAATTTAATCCACCCATAAAAAAGAATAGCCTTGATGAGAGAAGCGGAACTCAAAATAAAAATGCAATTAAGATTCAAAATGATCAACCAAAACGTATGAATCATAGAAATATACAAAAATGTGTTACAAAAAGCGTAGGAGATGGATGTATTGATTTAAAAAGTGCGGAAAATTTACAACAATCATATACCAGCACGGATATAATTATTAAAAATGAAACAACGCCTAGTGAAAAAATAGGAAACAAAGAATCATTAGGAAGTCTTATAAGTGGTTCGCTTAATGTTTTAAACGATGATGATATATTCCCTTCTCTTCTTCAATCCCCTTCTCAAGCAATACCTTACTCACAGTTCACTGACAATTCAAGTGTGAAAAATTTATCACTTAGTCGCAATGCATCTTTCTGTTCCGTAAGTTCAGTAAACAAAACTTACACTAATTTAGATTGTAACGAAAATGAGGTGACCCACGAATCTTCTTATCAGATACCTTCAGGAGACGCATTTTTAAAATTATTTAAAGGTAAAAGTAAAGTTAGGAAGGCGTGTTCTGTTGCAATGTCAACAGAATTTGGTGATATGGGTTTTAATGTAAAATATTCGGATTATATAAAAGAAGTGCCTTATCACCACACACAAAATTCTTCCGATTGTACTGATGAAACTGTCGGGAAAATACTTAATATGTATCCAAAAGAAAACGAAGATTATATAAAAATTTATCGAAAAAAGTAATACTCTATTACTGTAGCTTGTGTTAAAACTTCATAATTAAATATAAAATAAATTTATTCAAATTTTGAATGTGATATTATTTTCGTTATAAACAAAACGTAAACTTAATTTTAATTTACATAACTATCTGATAAAATATGCAGTTACGGCCTATTTATAAGTCCCTCTGCTGGGCAAAGGCCTCTCATTTTAGCGGTTATGGAGCAATTTTCATTCTTAATCGAGCATAGATGTAGACGTTTATGGGCCACAGCACCCACTTACCATCAGGTGGACTATGTGTTCGCCTTCAAAATATTTTTATTACTCAGGCATAATATGTAGATTTCCTAACGATGATATTCTTTCACCGCTGAGCACGTAGTAAAATAGTAATTAACGATGTTTGAGCTCCGAAATTTGTGACGAGCGTTTAGCCTTTAAATTGTAAGCTGCCACGTCCCTTTGTGTTAATGTTAGTGCTCGTATAAATAATAACATTAAGATTAGCAGCTCAAGTTTAGTTTTGAGCGTCGAACTTGGTTATTGCTAATGAACATTATGTCGAATATTAGCTTACGCACAAAAATGAACCTAATTTTAGCCGGCAAATCTTATTTTTTATACAAAGATATGCCGTATCACATTTTGCCATATCATATATTATATGAGACAAATTTATTTATCCTTAATAACGAACAAAGAGGAACCTTCTGAATTAAGGTGGAGTGTTGTTGTTGTTTGTTACCTGATATTGGTGTTCTCGTTACACCGTTCGAATGAATGTAGTGGACATTGTAGCAGCAGTATAGTGGCTGTAGTATATAGTATAATAAATAACACAGAATTCGAATAAAAAAAAAAACGTTATTTTGTGTAGCTAGTGACAAGAACCGGAGACCCTTTTCTTGTAACGTGACAATTCACGTTAGTCTATGACAACGACGCCGAGAATATAATAATAGATGTCGGTCACAGCATCCACTTACCGTCAAGTACCGTCATCCACGTACCGTAGAACCAAAATAACGGCTTAGTAAGCTGAAGTAGCAATGGGCCAACCATATAGCTCTGAACCGACAACCGTTGGGAAATAAAGGTTCTCGTACCGGTAGGCGAAGTGTAGGGCGTCTTCCACAAAATAGAGTTACGACCTGGTAAGACATGCAGAAAGTCGATGGATGCAGGTTGCTAAGCACCGTGCTTTGTGGAATTATTTATTATTTTAAAAAACAGAAACAAAACAAAAAAAATCTTTGGGAGAGAGATATGTTTAGCAGTGGACTTGTGAAGGACTGTAATGATAATAATTTAGTACGAGATATCAAATTACATCATGGCGCAGCCCTAAAATAGCCTTTTTACAATAACCTTAACTTTTTAAATTAACCCTTTCGCTGTCCCGTGCACTACATATAGGTCATTGCTATTGTCTTACTATTGTGTTTGAAAACCGGACAGTGAAAACCTTTTGGGTACTAACTATTATTTATTGTGCTTTTGGTCAAATGAACGTTGTAGAATCGTCAAATGACTTTGAACCCTTATGAGACCCTTATAATATTAAAACCGGCCCTTGTTGGCGGCCTTGGCTTGTAAAAATGAAATATCATTATTTTTTCCTAAAAATTAAAATTTTCGTTGACCGGAGAAGAAACGACGCAAGAAACTTTTAAAAATACCTGGTTTATTTTTTGTATTGGCTGTGAAAACTGAAAACACAACATTAAAGTTTTAACTAAATTAAAAATATACCCATCAGCAATGAAAGCATGCTCTATGATAAAAACCGACTTAAAACTTTTGAGCTTGGTAGTAAAGTTACAGCTACAGCGATGCTAATAAACATTATTTTTACTTTTGATTTGCCTACATATTTTCCATTAGAATTGAATTTATTTAAAACTTAGACTTTAAACCTTAAAAAAAGAAAAACTAAGAAACTACAAAAATGGTTTTGGCGGGAACTTGACTGGCGGCTTTATTTAAAGTATTAAATAATTTTACAGTGACTTTTTTAGAAAATGGAAATATGTTGGTAGATTTCACATAAAAGTCGTAATCATAATGCTTTCTTTTTATGCAAATCCTAAATCTAAAATTCAAATTTATGTACGCCTTTGGTTGCCTGTAAGAGATTGCAATACAGCGATAAGGCCGCCAATAATTTATACCTACCTTCTTTCCACTAGTACCCATTATCACTATCCATATACTCTTTTGTTTTGGTTTAATTGTGAAATTTCTTCTATCGTTGGGTCGGTCGCTAGTGCCTCAAATCGAGGCTGCATCGTGTGCCAGTGAGGTTGACATTTCAAGAAAAATATAATATATTATTTCTCACCTGCGCCCATTGAGTTATATGTATAGTACATATAACTCAATGCCTGCGCCTATGTTAATTATAAATAAGTTTTATGATTTATGAACGGTAGTGAAATGCTTAATTTTTTTTTTATAGAAGATCCAGACAAGGAAAATATTCTAATCGCCTACCTCCCTGATGGACAATATGTTGGAATAAGGCTGTTCCAATCTCGGCCTACAAATTTCAAGAACGAAGCTGCCAGGTTGCAATGGGACAAGCAAGCCGCTTCTAATGCAATTACATTGAAAATGCAGTTAGGTTTGTGCATTATTAATTTTTACCCGGTTTTGCATGCTATATATTTAAACATTCGCCCGATGTTTTCCGTCATGTCTCTCCCTAAGCATGAGTGGTCAGTGTATAAAAGGAAATACCGAATACAACTTTTCAATGACAATTCGTCACTTTCATTAAGCCACCTTCACAACCCTAAAGACCTACAGAAAAATAGTGCATAACAGTATTCAACGACCTGTATGAACGCTTATTATCCTAAAATACACAATTAATATAGGTATTTAACCCTTTCACCGCCGCGCTTTAGTTGACGTGGAGTGTCTCCAGCGCCAGGAACTTTTATTTAATATTTTGCATAGTGTTGGAACAACCATTTATGGATAAATGAAACAAAGTTTTAAAAATTATAGATTATTATTTATTTTAAACAACATAACATTCTTCTTATTGGGCATTAACACCAGCTTTAATCAGTCTTAATTTTCATTAATCACATTGCACTTAATCATCGTTAATTCTCTTCATAAAACTAATCAATATTTAGGAGATGGGCATGGACCTTGATATACAGTAATCTATGCTTGATCTAATATATGTAGCTCCTTCCGAGCGTTATATATCTTTATTATGTACACTTGCGATCGAATCTCGTATGGGACTGACTCCATTTCAAATGCAATTAATGTACCAAAATGCTCATTTCGAGGATCCTCTGGTCTTTGATTAAAGAATCTTGAAGCGGGCAAACTTATATAAGCTGTGTAGTCATCTTTTTCCGATTTCACATAGAATATGTAATGATTTTCGGTCTGAGTTGATCTACCATTTTTGGAAACTTTTCTTTTTATTTTCTTTTTCGGTCGAATAGACGGGAGAATAGATGGCGATAACGGCGGCGATTCATCACTTTTTGACATGATGATTCTACTCCATAGGTATACTAGAAGATTATTTATGTTCCTGTAAAAAGGTATAAATTAAGCAAATATAAATGTAGTGTCAGTTTCTTAAATACCTTACTTATCTTCACGCACAATCCCTGACGGGGTAGCCAGAGAGAACAGATCGCCAAGTGTCACGATCCTTACAAAACTTCTTAAATACCTGACTAATTTTACATGAATATTTACTTACAGATTCAATATCACTGCCTTTAGATGAAACTGTGAATATCATTATGCGATTCTAAAATATTTAACTGTTCTTCGTCTAGCATTATCGATAATTTCCAGCACTAAAAATGCAAATAAGTATAGTACACGAGTGTTATCACGGTGACGGCGCCTCAGTAATTGACAATTTATTGAAACGCCACTGTCCTTGACATTAGCCGCACGTGAAATCACGGTGCTGGCTATGTGCTTCATGGTGCTGTCGTTCTCAAGTCGAATGCACTAGTGACGTACCGGGATAATTCAATTTTACATTTGGGTTGTTTGGTTTATAAATTAATATTTTTATTTCTTGTCGCAAAAATCATTTAAATAATATATGAAATTAAATTTTTATGAATGTTAAGTTCAGTTCATTAAAATATTACATTATGATGACTTGACTGTCATTTTAATTTTGAAACAATACAAATATAAATTGTTTCATAAATCTTTTACAATGGCGCAGCACTGGTCTCAGAAATATCACGGGGATGGCGAGGCAGCAAGGTGTTTAATTTCATCTTGCGCTTAGTAATACTATATATTTCTGTAAATTTTTTGACATTGGTATCTACAACTGTCCACAATCAATTAAATGTATTAAATTTAATAGCAAAATCGAATTAACCTTGCAGTTTTTCTAGTAACATGAGCATTTCGGAATATTACGTGACGACGCTGACGGTATTCACCTTAAGATTCGTAATATTACGGCTATGGCGGTGAAAGGGTGAATAATATATCGGCTCGATGTACAATTTATATTTTCAAAATGTATGATTACTAGCTTTCATAGGTCAAAACGTGATTGCGCTAATATATTCTGAAGCCAGTATTTTGCTTGTGTCAACAGAGAGAGGTCAAATAACAGCTCAGTCTGTCATAGCACAACTGGTGATGGACCTTCATTTAACCGATGAAGAAAAAGCTACACTGGATAAAGAAAGAGAAACAGGTAATTTTAATAAGAATTCTTTTGTATAAATTCACAAATAAATTTCTAAAATTTTTTTTTTAATTTTAATTGTAGTTGCATAAAAATATTAAAATTTTACATCATTTCGTATTTCAGATGAAAAGAAATCACGCGTACAGTTCTTAAAAACTGAAATGAAACTTATTGAACTGGAGGCTAAAATAAAAACATGTCTTTGTTTGGAAAAGGCAGACACTGAACTATGTTTGAAGTTACTGGATGAGCTGATGGGTATGTAATCTTTAAAATTGAACTGTTTGCATTGTACATTGCATTATATTTAAAATACACACAAAATTTTGTTAGTTTCCATTTTTTAATAAATGTTACATTAGTCATTTTTTCTGTAGCGTAAAGGTACTCATATAAATTAAATTTTTTGTTGGCCATATAATTAGTTTTGTATAAGATTAGAACTTGCGAACCGCATTGCTGCAGTAAAATGCTTAGCCGCTGAGTTTAAGGCCGTTTAATATTGTGTTCATAGGTTTGAATCTCAAATCATACATATATATATCAAAAATCTCTAAATTGAAGTCGTAAAATGGATTAAGTTAATTTATTGACGATTTTCAAAAGTTTAACTCTACCAATTACACACATCTGTCTTTATTATTTTTGTGTGTAAATGTTGTTTTTGTGTATAATCTGACTTTGGATTTCGTAGTATAGCGTAAAATTAAAAACAAATATTAACAATCTATCAATGTTATTTATTGCCATGTGTACTTTAAAAACCATAAAAAACCGATTATACATTGTTGGTCAAGAGATCATGAAATGGATAAAATCATTCAGAACAAGTTTTTATACAAATTTTAAAAATTCAAAATATTAACTTATTTTCCATAATACCTGTCATTTGAAGTATACCACTTTTATGTTTTTCAGAACTTGACGTTAAACCATTAATGCTACTGAAACATCCAACTTGCTTGGAAACTGTGAAGAGAATGCGTGCATATGTTGGTAACACACCGTCTTGGGATCTAAGTGAGAGCGCCGCGTTGTTGTTTAGCAAACAAGCTCATCGAATAAGGAAACAAGCAGATACACTTTATAAAAATATGAAGGTAAAGCTCATTCGTGTCATTACTTCTGAGCTGTGATATCTTGGGGATTAAACATTCGCAGTAAATCTACATATTACACAAGCAACGCGAGAACCAGCAAGAAACCTAGTGGAATTATTTTTTAAACAAAATTTAACATTGATAATATACAACTATTTATATAAATTATAATAAAAACAGCATAGTAAGGATCACCTCATTACCTAATTCTTTTATAAAATAAGGGTGACAAAATGAGCACACAATCCACCCGATGGTAAGTTGATGCTGTGGCTCATAGACATCTTATATCTCAATTAAGAATCAAAATGCAGATGCCTCCTGAGATGGAGGCCTCATTTCCAGTAAAATGGGTGTCCCAAACTCTACACTCACCATATGAAATACAGCAGCATTAAGCCGCCATTTTGCGTTGGTATTGTGTGAATAGAATAGAATAGAATGATTTTTAGTCAATATTGAATATTACATAATACTTATTGAAAGACATTTTTATTTACCACTGGTTCGGAAAATACCTCTGTCCTGGGAAGAACCAGTAAGAAACCCAGCGAGACTTTAAAAACATACTTTACTTAACAATAATTTTGTTTATACAAGTTTTAAATGAATTTTCATAGAACCAGCATGGTGGCGATCACCTTATTCCCAAGGGTTATTTTCATTCATGTATTCCTTGATATTATAATAACCCTTTTTGTACAGTTTTTGTTTAATAAAACTTAAACTTGTTTAATGACAAACTTTGAACATGATCTGGGATTTTGTTGTAAAAACGTATATATTGTCACATAAATGAATTACTGATTCTGTGGAGTCTTGTAACTGGCATTACAAGCTTATGTTTGTACCTAGTGTTAAAGGTGTGAACATCCTTATTCTTATTAAAGCTATTTATGTTTTTATATTGTCATAAATATATTGCGATGCCAAAGTTAATATGTTTATTTCTTTAAATTTTTCTCTAAGGGACTCTTTACAATTTAGGTTATAAATCGCCCGTACGGCTCTCTTTTGCAAAACAAATATAGCTTCAATATCAGTTGCATTACCCCATAGCAAAAATGCCATAAGCTATTACACTATGAAAGTGGTTCATAGCGTATAATGTCTAATAAATTATTTCATGGACACGTAAAGTCCACTAACACGCACTGGAGAAGCGCGTATATTCGGACGTACATAATAATATGCTTATACATTGATATGAACTCCATTCATCATCATCAATCATCGTTACAGCCTATCACAAGTCCAATTCTGAATAAAGGCCCGAACCATCTGAATGCATCGACGTCCTGCATCTGTTACCAGGTCGTCACTCCATCTAGTGGGGGGCCGCCCAACACTTCGCTTACCGGTACGAGGCTGCCACTTGAGAATCTTTCATCCCCTTCGGTTGTTGGTTATTCGAGACCGGCCTTACCACTTCAGCTTACTGATCTGATCTTTTACGCTAAGTCGGTTACTTTTGTTCTACTTCGGATATTCTCATTACGAAGTCTATCGCGCAGAGAAACTCCGAATGCGAAACTCGCTGAGTGACCTTCAGGTCCCTCATACAGCCAGCAGTGAAGGACCATGTCTCAGATCCATATGTCATCACGGCATCATGCACTAATTGTACACTATTGTTTTCAAGTTTTGAGATATACGTGACCAGATGTGTCGTAATCTCCCGAACGCTGCTCAGCTGAGTTGAATCCGTCAATTTATCTTTTCGTCAAAATTGGGCTAACCTAGTCAGACAATTTGTCCTATGTAAACATACTCGTCTACAACTACGAACGTAGTGATCCCAACTATTATCTGCATAGGTGTGACATGAACGTTACACAGGAACTGCAATACCAAAAGTTATTTAAATTAAACTTGTTGAAGTAAATTTTAAATATATGTTTTCTGAAAAGTTTTTATTTTATGGCTGTTTTTTTTTACAGGAATTATTTACAACACCAGAAGGTCTTTCTTTTTGGGAGTACTTCTCAGAAAGAGTTTTACAATTTAAAAAAGTTACCTCGAAGCTCACTCCAGATGAATTACTTGAAATGGTGCATGAACCCTTAGGTGAGCAGATTTAACCATTATTTTTTTTTATAGGAGAGGGGGCAAACGAACATGCGGCTAACCTGATGGTAAGTGGCTACCGCCGCCCATGAACAGCTGCAACACCAGGGAGGGAATCGCAGATGCGTTGCGGGCCTTTTAAAAAGGAGTACGCTCTTTTCTTGAAGATCCCTAAGTCGTATCAGTCCGGAAAAATCGCTGATGGTAATCGATTCCACAAGGAAGTCGTGCGAGGAAGAAAACAACTTCTAAATCGCACAGTAGTGGACCGCCAATCATCCAGATGGTGTGGATGGTATCGGGAGTTCTGCCGCGATGTGCGTTCGTGAAATTTGGCGGCTGGGATTAATCCGAACAATTCCTCAGAGCACTCCCCGTGGTAGATGCGAAAGAAAATGCAAAGGGATGCAACATCTCTTCGCAGTGCCAATGAATTGAGCCGATCGGAAAGGACTCGGTCGTCGACGATTCGAGCCGCTCTGCGCTGGATGCGGTCAAGTGGAAGGAGCTGGCACTGCGGAGCCCCTGCCCAGCGATGGGAACAGTATTCCTTGTGAGGCCGAAACTGCGCCTTGTAAAGTTGCAGGCGGTGTGCCGGCATGAAATACTGTCCCGCTCTGCTGAGCACGCCAAGCTTTTTAGAGGCCAATTTGGTCTTCTCTTCCAAGTGACCACGAAACTGCACGTCACTCGATATGTCGACTACGAGGATTCCGATACTGGCTGAGGCAAGAAGGGGAGTGCCTTGAACTGAGGAGATACGACAAAGGGGTTCTATTTAGCGGTAAACGCGCAAACTTGTGTCTTCTGAGGATTAAACTGGACTAGATTTAGTCGCCCCCAATCCGAGACTTTGTTCAGCAAAGACTCGACTTCAGACACAAGTTTGTTCCGGTATTCGGCCACGTTTTCCAGAGAAATATTGGCACGGCCGGTGTATAGAGCATCACCAGTGCTGTCATCCGCATAGCAATGAATGTTACCAGTTAGCAACATATCATTGATATGCAGAAGAAACAGCGTTGGTGATGCACACAGCCTTGTGGAACACCAGCGTTAATAGGCTTGTAGTTGGAGCATGCACCGTCTACAACGACCTTGATGCTCCGATCTGCAAGGAAGCTGGTGATCCAATCGCACAATTTCTCGGGAAGCCCATAGGAAGGGAGCTTCGAAAGAAGCGCTTTGTGCCAAACCCGATCGAAGGCCTTCGCAATGTCCAAACTAACGGCCAACGCCTCCCCCCTGGACTCTACTGCCTCTGCCCATCTATGGGTCAGGTAGACGAGAAGATAACCAGCTGATCGACCCCGACGAAAACCGTATTGGCGGTCACTAATCAGCTGGTGATCATCAAGGTACCGTATGAGCTGGCAGTTAATAATTGATTCTATTATTTTGGAGAACAAGGAGGTGATCGCGATAGGCCTATAGTTGGAAGGGTCTGAGCGGTCGCCTTTTTTAGGGATCGGGTGGACAAAAGCTATCTTCCATGAATTCGGGACTAGCAAACAGGGAAGGTGTATGATCCTCCACATCTGGAATCCGCGTAGGCGAAGTAACCAGTTGTGTCAGACCATATGCCAAAGCAAAGTCATAAACAGATCTCCCCGCATGATCGGTTAAACGTGAACCGAGCCATTCGGCGTGGTGGGCGTTAAAATCGCCAAGGATCATGATCTCTGCGGATGGGACCTGTTGTAGCAAAGAATCTGTAGCCATTTGGACGTGGTCAATGAGTCGGTCTGTTTCTGCATTACCGCTATGGGATCTATAGAGGCACCCGTAGACGCGCGGATGGTCGTCGCTGTCTACGCGTAGCCATAGGATGGACAGGTCCGAACCTTTAAGACTGCCGAGGCGTCGAGAACAGATGTCCTCTCTGACATGCACGCAAACTCCAGCCCGAGGCACAAAGGAGTGCTCCAATTTGTACCCAGGGCAGGAGAGATACGAAATATCAGCCGGAGAGGAAACCTGCGTCTCGGTCAGAAAGAGCAAGGCCGGCTTCGCCGTCTCGAGATGGTAGTAGACGGCGTTTAGGTTCGAGTGAAGTCCCCTGATGTTGCAGAAATTCACGGATAGCGTGGCAGGAGTCGCCTTGGTCTTGTTGCTCAGTTTGCCCCGAGCAGTTATGTTTTTGAGCGGAATTTTGCGAGTAGATTAACATGGTCGTGGATGCTCAGCGAGGGATTCTCCAGGGGTGCTGGTACCCTCCTGGGGTAGTCTAACGTGTAATTCCGCTACCATGTTGATGGGGGGGGGGGGGGGAATTGGGCCTCCGGCCACCTGCACTCACCAGGCGAAACGCAGAAGTAGAAACTTCACGCCGGTATTCTGTGAGGTCGTGGTACTAACCCGGCTCGAGCCGGCCCATACGTGTAACAGCAAAAACTGCTGCGTGGCTCTACCACCGTTAACCGTGTTTTGTTCTATGTATTGTATCATTTTATTAATTAATTTGTGATATTTGATTGGTAGTATCTTAAACATTTTAAATGTCACATTCGCAGAAATGTCCGTACCTACATCACATACAATGAAGGCATCCATTGAAGCCGCTAATGAGGAGGAACCTGCTCTTCTGGAAGACGAGAATAATTCCAAGAAGAAAACTACTCCAGGTATTTTATTTTACACTGTATTGCTTGTATTGTTTAGATTGCCACAGATAGAAAAGTATAATTTTATTTTTGATTCCTTTCAGTTAGAATTTATTGTTCTAGTCATAATTTTTTTTTTATTTAAAATATAAAAGTTAATCATAAAAAATGCATTCAATTTTAGTTAAAGCGAAAAAACAAAATGGCACACCATCAAAACCTCCGCTGAAACGACAGTCGTCTAGAAAACAACAACAGGAAGAAAAAGAAACAAACAAAAACACTAATGAAGCTGAGGAAGATGCAACAAAGGAAAAGAAGGACGACGAAAAGATTAATGATGCAAACAAAAATGAAATTACAAATGCAGAAGAATCAAAAGAGGAAACCGAAAGGATGAAACAGACAAAGGAATCTATAAACGATAAAGATACAGACAATATAGAAGAACCAAAAGAAAAAAGTTCTAGTCCAAATTCAGAAGAAAATGCAAAAAGTCCGAAAGAGAATGCAGAACAAAAGACTGAAGAGAAAACGGAAGAAGTGAAAGAGAAGGAAATAGTAAAGGAGAAGGAAAAAGAAAATGAAAAGGAGAAAGAAAATGAAAAGGAGAAAGAGAAGGAAAAAGAGAAAGAAAAAGAGAAACAAGAAGTTGACGAGCCCAGAGCAAAGCGATCAAGAGATGTATGAAAATTTATTTATTTAATTTAAAAAGAAAATAGATATATAATAAAAGTTACCGCCCCTATAATTTTTTTAGGATAAGGGTGACAAATGAGCTCAAGGTCCATCTGCTGGTAAGTGGTTGCTGTGGCCCATAGACATCTACACATATCCTCGTTACGAATAAAAATGCAGATGTGGTGACACCCGTGATGGACTAAGATGGAATGCCTCGTTTCTAGTAAAAACGGTCTCCAGTTCTCTACACTCACCATACGAAATACAGCAGCGTTGAGCTTCTATTTTACGCTGATACTCTGTGAACTCTCTTACTTATTTCTCAGACATGCGGGTTTCCTCACGATGTTTTCCTTCACCGCTGGGCATGTGGTAAATCAGCAATTAAAATTGCGATTAACAATTTCATTGGCGCCGGCGGGGATCGAACCCGGGTTGCTGGCGTACTGTGAAATTTACAGAGAGCGCTAACCATCTGAGATACTATGGCTTTGTCACCTTCATTCTATAAAAATTAAAGGTTTTAAAGCTATCTATGAGATATTTACTGATTAATTTTAGAATCGGTTCATGAAAATATTTTATTATAACATTTTTATTCCAGAGTAAGAAGACTGAACCACCACCTCCAAGATCTCCAACTAAAAGGAAATCTAAATGTTAAAATATGTTTTTAGTTAAAATTGGACTTACCCCATGCACAACATGGCTTTCCAGAATATCTCCAACTGGATTGGAAATAACTATTTAAGGTTGCAATATACTTTGATGAATTATTTGCTTAAATGTGTTCATTTCGATTGATTTGTAAAAATGATTGAAAACTGACGTCCATACATTATAATTTACATTTTATTTGTTTTAAATAAACGACTTATGTTGTAAATTATGAAGGAAAACAGATTGTGTACACAACTTATTTCGTTTCTACTATGCCACAAAGCATCTTGTATAATTTGCATCTCGTATGTCAAAGGCCTGTGATAGCGCCGACACATGTTAAATAAGTATTTATTTTTGCGCCGACATTAATTGATTTAAGAAACAGCACTATTGTGAAGTTACAATAATAGAGATCATATGGAGAAACGAAACTTATGATAGGAGCTATCAATAGTAATTTTGACTAAGCTGTATCATTTTTAATATAATTAGATAGATTTATGTATAATTTTAGATTGCAATATACTTTGATGAATTATTTGAGTAAATGTGTGTTTTTCCATACATTTGTAAAAATGTTTGAAAACTTACGTACATACATCATCATTGACATTTATTTGATTTAGATAAGATGTGTTGAAAAAAATATGAAGGAAAACAGATTGTGTTCTCAACTTATTTAGTACCTTCTACTTTTCATCTCTGTGTTAAAGGCCTGTGAAGTGCCGACACATGTTTAAATAAGTCTTTATTTATGCGCCGACATTAAATGATTGAAGAAACAGCACTATTGTGAAGTAACAATGATAGAGATTACATGGAGAAACGAAACTTATGATGGGAGCTATCAACAGTAATTTGTACTAAGTTGTATCAATTTTAATTTTTAATATAATTAGATAGATTTATGTATAATTTTTCGTAAAGATAATATAGGCTACTAAAAGTACATTTATTTTATTAGTTATTAAATTTTAGACATCATAGGTTACTTGTAAATATTTACAGAATATGGACAATTTTTCTAAATCATTATTTTCAGTGACCTAAATATATTGCATTTTTAATGCAGTGAAAGCTGCAATATTATTTCACATTTGTATTGTATTATATAAAGTGTAATACCTAGGATAATCGAATAATTATAAGATTCGGAAAATCACCCGCTCGTTTAATGAAGAATGCGGTGTGATATTATGTCTATTATATTTTTATCGTGTTCAAGAAGTATTTTTTAATTGTTTATACTTCGAAGGGAAATCACCGGTCCATTTGTAAGTGTAAATTGAATTCTATTGTATGAACAAGTGTCTTGTTGGCAAGAAAATTAAAAGTAATTTTAAATTAAATTTTGCTGTTATTTTTATTTTACATCAATATAAGCTAAATTGTTTACAGCTAGTTGTATAAATTGTTTGACAAATGAAATGCCTGGCATTCTCGGCTTCAGGAGTAGACTTTTTGTGACTGCGATGATAATGATGATATAATATATGAATATTAAAAGTATAAGAGTTCCATCACCCCACTAAGTTCCGTGGGTGTTGTGATTAGGTGAGTACCTGGAAAATCCCAGAAAAATTCTGCCTTCTGGTAGATGGTGGGATATATATAGATACAACTAAATATACGAGTGGCCTTCTCGATACTTTTCTCTTCACAAGTTAAAAATATTTTTAAAATTATTTAAATAAATGAACAATTTCTTAGTAATGATTATACGTTATAAAAATATTCATAGAACGCGTCAGAAGGAAATTCAACAACGCCTATCACGATGCGACACGGCAGCCTCGGGGCGGTTCAAGAAACAAACTTTTTTATTCAATATAGATTATAAATAATACTTATTGAAAGTCACTCTTTTGTATAATTACCACTGGTTCGAAAAAAACCTCTGTCCTGGGAAGAACCAGCAAGAAACCCAGCGGGTCTTTTTTTTAAATAACAGCTTACAATCATGTATTTTACACAAATTAACAACACAACAAATTAGAAATAGCTTGGTAGCGATCACCTCATTTCCAGGGCTTATTATCATCTATAAATACTTTAATATTATAATAACCCTTTTTATACAAACTTAGTTTAATAAAGTTTTTGAACTTTGAGCAGGTCAAATTTTGTATATTTTCTGGAATTTTGTTGTAAAAGCGTATACATCGCCCCAAAAATGAATTACAGACTCGATGGAGTCGAGTAACAGGTACTACTACTAGCTTGTGTCTGTTCCTAGTATTTACAGAATGAATATCACTTATTTTTGTAAAACTACTTTTATTTTTGTGTACGTACATTACATTTTCATAAATGTATTGAGAGGCCAAAGTTAATATATTAATTTCCTTAAATTTTTGTCGCAGCGACTCTTTAGGCTTTAAATCATAAATTGCTCTTATGGCCCTCTTCTGTAAAACAAATATAATTTCAGTGTCAGCTGCGTGTCCCCATAGCAAGATACCATACGACATTATGCTATGGAAATAGCTAAAGTAAACTAGTCTAGCTGTTTCAACACTAGTTAGACTTCTAATCTTTTTACGGCATATGCTGCAGAACTAAGTCTGCTTGCTAGTTTTGATTATGGGGGCTCCATTGAAGCTTCGCGTCTAGTATGATTCCAAGAAAAATGGTGGTATCTACAAGACTCAGTTTCTCCCCATTTAAAATTACATTAGTATTTAATTGTTTGACATTTGGAGTCACTAATTTCATACATTTCGTTTTAGTGCCATTTAAATGCAAATTATTAACATTGAACCAATTTACTAATTTAGATATAGCATTATTTACTTCGTCATATTTTAGCAATTGTCGACTTAATTTGAAAATTAAAGTGTCATCTGCAAATAATACTATATCATGGTTATCTCCTACTATGTAAGGTAAGTCATTAATGTATACAAGAATATTCTGTGATAGTTATTAACCCATTAAAAATATGTATTTGAATGTTCATGAATTGAATAATGCGTTAAAAATTACTTGCAATGCTTATAAAAACTGTTATTTTGTAGAATGTATTAATAGCAATTCGTTTAAAATGTGTAAATCAATCAATTATATCATCGACTGCATTGACTACGATAATAAATATTTAAATATTAAGGAACTTCAAAAGATAATAATTCGCAATAAACCACAGCCTCAGGAAGCAACTAAATTTAATATAAAACACCTGAAAGGCACAATCCCCTATTACTTCGCAAAAATACAGTTACAAAGTGCTTCCATCAGTGGAACTAATGCCATAAAATCCACTTTCGATTCGAAAAAAGGTACCATACCCTATTACTTCCCCATAATAAATGGAAATCAGTTTTTTCGGGAAAAAAAAGCAAAAGCCATCTCTTTCTTTCAAAATCATGCACCAAAACATTGCTAGTATTTTATCAAAACAAGAATTATTAGAATTAACACTCCATGAGTTATGTGAGGCCGAGAACGAACCCGATATACTATGTTTCTCTGAAACGTTTTTGCGAGATGGTTACGATAAATACTTACAAATAAAAGGTTACGAATTAGCAACTGCATTTTGTAGGGATAAACAAAGAGGCGGAACTTGCATTTTGGTACAACGTAATATAACATACAAAAAAATTTATAAATTACAATATTATGCAACACCAAATACATTTGAAGCTTGTGGAATTGAAATTCCTGTACACAGATTGATTATAATATGTATTTATAGAACTCCCTCGTCAAACCCTACTATTTTCTTAGATAAGCTGGACAAACTTTTAAATGACTTACTTGGCAGTCATAAGCCAAACATTAAGCTAGTTGTAACTGGTGACTTTAATATCAATACTTTTAAACAGGGAAATATTACTAATTTTTTTCAGGATCTATGTCACAACTACAATCTAAGCATTCACATTAATAAAGAATGACCAATATGGCTTTCAGAAACAAAAATCTACAACATTAGCCACATTTAAGCTCATTAGTTCAATTTTAACAAAAATAAATAACAATTTTTTAACCACAGCATTGTTTCTTGATTTATCGAAAGCCTTCGATGTCGTTGCACACAGCATACTATTACGAAAACTGGAAATGGTCGGTATCAGAGGACTTCCACTAAAATGGATATCTTCCTATTTAGCTAACCGTAGACAATGTGTCGTAATAAAAAAGATTGTAGGAGAGGAAATGCTGTCCTTCTCATCTTTAAAACTCATTTTTAAATTCCTAGGAGTAATAATCGATCAAGATTTAAGTTGGAAAGGTCACATACATCACCTATGCAGTAGAATTAACCAATTTGTTTATGCACTTAATAAAGTAAAAAATGTTACAGACAAAAAAACTGCTGTTCTAACGTATCACGCTTACATAGAATCTTTACTACGTTATGGTGTTATAATATGGGGCAATGCTTAGAGTAATTACACAGCCTAATACGAGGGTGGATTGAAAAATACTCGGCCTAACACAGATCCATTCAATTCTAAAAATCAAATCTACCCACATTATTTAGTTCAGTTCAGACTAGTTCATTGTGTGAAGTTCGAAACGTGTGCGATAATTAGTTGTGATTTTATAAATTTATTAACAAAGTAATCGGACATAATTTCCGCGAATGGAGCAAATCGAGCAGCGTGCCGTCATTAAGTACCATAAGAAGGGGCTATCATCAAAAGCCATCCATGATGACATGGTCAGTACATTAGGCGATTGTGCTCTGTCATATTCATCCGTCAAAAAATGGATAGCAGAATTTAAGCGTGGTAGAGAGAGTGTGAAAGATGAACCCCGCTCTGGAAGGCCTTCGACGTCAACTACTGACGAAAATATTAAAAAAGTACTTGATTTAATAATGGGAGACCGCAGATTAAAAATTAGAGAGATAGCCGAGATTATAGGCATCTCTTATGAACGAACTCAAAACATCATTGTCAACGAGTTGGGTTTCCACAAGGTGTCTGCGAGGTGGGTTCCGCGACTGCTTTCAGTTGAACAAAAAAGGACGCGATTGACTATTTCACGCGACTGTTTGGAGTTATTTGAAGCCGATGCAGATGATTTTTTGAATCGTTTTGTTACTATGGACGAAACATGGGTTCATTACTGTACACCGGAAACAAAACCACAATCAAAACAGTGGAGAAGACCTGGTTCACCACCCCCCAAAAAGGCTAAGTCGATTTTGTCGGCAAATAAGGTGATGGCTTCAGTATTCTGGGACTCGAAAGGTGTGATTATGATTGATTATCTTGAAAGGGGTCAGAATATAAACTCTGATTACTACTGCACCTTACTACGTCGTTTACGAGAGGAAATAAAAGAAAAACGTCGAGGAATGCTCAGAAGAAAAGTCCTGTTTCATCAAGATAACGCCCGTGTTCACACGTCAGTACAGTCAATGGCTGAAATTCACAACTGTGGCTTTGAACTGTTACCGCATCCGCCGTATTCACCTGATCTGGCACCATCAGATTTTCGACAAACGACGAGGTCAAAGCAGCTGTAGACGCATATTTTGACTCTAAGGAAGAATAATTTTTTTTCAACGGTCTAAATGATTGGAAGGGGAGGTGGCAAAAGTGTATTGAACTTGATGGTGATTATGTAGAAAAATAAAAATATAACTGATTTAGTATGTGTTTATTTTCTTGGTTAGGCCGAGTACTTTTCAATCCACCCTCGTACTTCTATGGGGCAATGGTACAGATAAACAGAGATTATTTACTGCACAAAAGATATGCATTAGAGCTATTGCTGGAATCGCACCGGATAAATCCTGCAAACCAATATTTAGGAGCCTAGGTTTGTTGCCACTACCATCTCTGTATATCTACGAAGTTTGTAATTTCGTACATAAACATAATAATCTATTTACAAAGGCATATGATATGAATATAAGACTAAAAAGAAATGCAAATAGACTTGTATTAGATGATGTACCGCGATCAAACAAATATAGTAAAAGCTGTTTAACCATGTGTATTCGAATTTATAATAAAATACCAAATGAAATCAAATCGAATAATAATAATTTATTTAAAAAAAAAATTATTGACTTATCTCAATGACAATCAATTTTATGACATCGGAGACCTATTTGTTAAATGTAAATGATATATATTTTTTAATGAATTGATAATCTTTGTTTATTTATGATTTTATATGTTGTAGTCTAATTCTTTTGTATTATGATTAGAAAATTTCATTTGTATATGTGCTATTTATATAAATTTGCATGCTATCACAATCACATAGCAAAACATGTTTTGCTTTAAGAATTGTACCATCCTTATCTGTCCATGTTTTATGCAAATATATGAAATAAATAAATATGAAATAAATAAATAAATAAGAAACAGAAAGGGGCCGAGAATTGAGCCTTGAGGCACGGCCATTTGTTCTTTTGTTGTTGTTTCTTTTGACTAATAAAGGTTGTTCGTTATCCACATCCATTTTCATAAACATATAGACCCTAGACCGGCAAACGCTTAAACCCATATGGCTCGGTACAGGTAGTCGGTACTGACAAGTTTAAACCTAATTCTTTATATGTGACCGCATAAGATAACATATTATATCAGTACCGACCAGCACAGATTTGTCTGTACCGGAAACCAGTTTCTTTATGTAAGCACCCGTACCTATTCGCTGAAGGTCATACAGGTAAACAAATTGTATGAGGATATATATATATATATATATATCTTATATAGTACGCAATATTTTGATGGATATATCAATCTGCATTCCTCCAAACCCACTATACGGTGTTAATGGGAGACTTCAACACAAATCTAGGCACAAGAGAGAACGATGAGCTGAAGATAGGGAAATTTGAAATAGGGCAACGGAACCCAAGGGGCCAGCAGTTGGCCGACTTCATGGAGAAAGAGAAACTATGATGAACTTTTTTTTCCAGAAGCGGCCCCACAAGAAGTGGACCTGATCGAGCCCATACGGTTCGACCAAAAATGAGATTGACTTCATTATGACGACCAGACGACAACTGTTCAGTGATGTCTCAGTGATGGCGAGGGTGAAATAATCATCACGCCGCGTGTCCGGCACTTCACAATCCTCTTAAAGCAAATTCCCACAGTCTGTAATCTCTAGGGCATAGGCGGACTTAGTCTGATGAAGGAAAATAAAACACTAATATTTAAATTTAAAGGTGTATATTTCTAAGATACACTTCTGATAATGCATCTATATCTTTCGGTGATAGTCTCTGTTTTCTTCAGGATACAAGGATAATATTTTATTTTCAGTTTCCTTCGCTTCTCTGACTGAAAATACAATATTTTTATTTATTTATTTATTTGTGCCATGTTGTTCTGGGACTTATAGGGCGTATGATTATGTGGGACTTATAACAATAAAGAATGTGCCAACTGCCAACAGCTTTACTTGCCTAGCATGTGGTACAAGACGACTTATGGCATATTGGGTTTGTGGTTGTATTGGCCACAGAGTAGGTACATTATATATTACTGACGTATTGGCTAAATGTTGTCCGAGTACCTCGCTGCTCTTTGGACTCTGCCTTACTATCTAGGGGGTTGTAAGTTTATTTATTTAATTTACATGCATAATCGTTCATGTTTTAATACATTAAAATTATAACCTATTGTTAGATATTATCCCAATTCTGATGTTAGAAATTACTCTCAAATTTATTTAAATAAAAGAATATTACTCTGCGTTTTACGTTTTATCACTAATCACATTAATCAGTTGGAAGTAAATACAAGATAACAGTGAAAAAGAGGAAGTATGCAAAACACAAGTGGTAACATTAAAAAAAACGTACAACCGACTTCATCTATAATATAAAAATGAATCGCTGAATGTGTTGCTAAGCGCAAATCTCGAGAGCAGCTGATCCGATTTCGCTAATTCTTTTTTTATAATATTCCTTGAAGTACGAAGATGGTTCTTACGGAGAGAAAATTTTAAAAAATTGTCTGGAAAGGTATAAAAACAACACTTTTCTATATTCCCATATAAAAGATTCGTAATAATACTCAAAAGTCAATTTGAACTTTAATACCGTACCATAAAGTTTAAGTGTTAGTGGAAGGATTCCGGGAAGGCAAAGCAATTATAATTTTTATTTTTTGACATAATGTAAGTAATTGTTGACTTATTAACTTTCTTTCTTCTTTTTTATCGTACTAGCTGACCCGGTGTCCCGAATGGACGAATAAGTGTTAATAAAAATTAAAGAATCGACTGCTAGGCGGTACGAAGTTCGCCGGGTCAGCTAGTCTATACATATAATAAATCTGTAGAAAAGTCGTGTCTGTAATTCTAATATATTCTTGAAAAAACAAGTCAAGGGGACTAAATAAAGGGTTCTGAAGCCAAATTAGTGGTTTTCAGAATTTTTGTCTGTCTGTCTGTCTGTCTTTCTGTCTGTCTGTCTGTGTATTCCGGATTCACGCAAAAACCTAACCGCAGCTATTATTATTTTGATCTCTTGTCAAGATGATGCAGATCATCCCATCTACTATTTTTTTCCTATGTCGCCTCTTACGACGGGACGATATGATGTGATGGATTTTCTTTCACCGCCACAACAGTGCGAACATTTTTCTACTCCCGTTCATGAGTGTAGTGTTCCTCACGTTCACTGTGTATAAAATATATGAGTAATAAAAGTAATTTTAAGTATTTTATCGCGTTTAATTTTAACTTTTTAAATTCCCGATGGTTTGGGCAATTTACAGCACCCATGGTCACGGGAGGGGTGGGAGAACTGAAGTGTTTGACGACCTGATGTCATAGTAAAAATAGAAGCTTAAAATGCAGTAGTAGTTTGAATTTAATTTAATTAATCATGGAGTCCTTAGCAGATAGTAGCACTCAGCCATCTTCCCTATTAAAATTAGGATATTTTTAATTTCAATAGCCTCGCGAATCATCATTGGTAGGATTCGGTGTTCTATTGCAAGGATTTGTTGTATATAATGGTTGGGACGATACTAAACATGTTTACATACTTTAGACTTCCCGGAGCTTCGGTGCTTTCATACGGTGAGGAGTCAAGATGCGTAAAAAACCCGTAACATTTATAGAACTGTATTTATGAAATTTTGAAGTCTACTCGAATTAAATAAAAATATCTATATCTTTTTATGGTGCCAATCAATATTAAATAGGACCAATGATATGAATACGAGTAAAATGTCTCAAATAAATATTATATTACTTTGTTAAAACTAAATTTACTTTAACTATGAATATATATATATATATGTAAAGAGTAAAATGTAAATAATAATAATACATTTTGATTTCAAGACTATTTACCTTTTTTATGGATACATCGGAATCGGAAGACACGCCATATATAAAAAATAGTAGGAGTTTCTTGACATATTATAAGTATATTCACGTGTTTGTGTAGCATGTTACCAATAATCTACGTCTAATAGTATTTATAATGAAAAAAATCTCTGATAGACCTAGAGACTACATAGCACGCAGTCCACAGTTAAGTGGACGCCGTGGCCCATAGACATTTAAATGTACCTATTTTCGAAAATTTCAGAATGGAATCAAAATGCAGATGCGTTGTCACCCTTGAGGACTAATGCCTCGTTTGCAGTAAAAAGAGTCTCCGGTTTTCCACACTGACTACACGAAACAAAGCAGCATTAAGCTGCTATTTTACGCAGGTATTCTGTGAGAGCGTGGTTACTCTCCGGTCGAGCCATCATTTTTGCTTCTACCATAATATAGTTGTAGAATAGCTCTATGCAAGTATTTCATGAGCCGTATTACTACTTTGTCGGACTAATTTGTGTACTCAGTTGGTTGGAGGATGTTACCTTCGCTTGATATTTAATCACGTGTATGACTAAGACAAGATAGTTAAGCGGTCATTTTTTAGATGGAACTAGGTCACTTAAGCTGCTATCACACTCCGGGGAAAAGTTTTAATTAAACATAAATGTTGTTTATTAATTTTAACCGTGTAATGGCGGTGTAATAATGTCTACTACCCATATCATCCTGTGGGTTTCGTAAGAGACGACAGAGGGAAACAAATCTGGAAATGGGCAGCAGCGTCTTCCTAATAACGACTAAACAACTTAACTAAACTAAAATAAACTGCGGTTGCTAACCCGCTTGCAGAGCGTGACAACTATGGCAAACATACCCCTATTAGGCAATCTAAGGGGGGATGCCTATGTTCAGCAGTGGACTTTAATAGGCTGTAATTGTAACGGTAATGTTTTTTATTCTATACTCACCATCATTTTCAGATATATACTGTTTATTTCCTTCAAGCAACAGTCTTATGTCGAAACCTATATGTTTTATGGAGGACGTTGGATTTCTGGCGAATATGGACTTGTTTTCAAAGAAACGTGATTCGAAACTTGGTACATGTGCTCCTTGAAAAAGATTTAAGAAATCGTCACCTTCAGGTATAACGTGGTTTTGTTGGTAATTAATGTTTCTTTGATAATCAGTATTATAAATAGTATTTCTATTGTACATGACACTCCTCGAGCTGGAGGCTTGCAAGTAGTTAAAAGAAATCGCATTTTGAGCATCAGGGTTAAAGCTATTGGTTTCTTCTCTGTTTTCCACTGTGGGAATTTCCTTAGTGACGCATACCTTCATTTTAGCTTCGCATTCGTCGTTGAATTTAAAATCGAAATTGATGTTTTCTTTCAGTGTTTCTATACTTGATATTCTTTTAGTAACAAACATCGCTTCTTTGGCTTCGTCTTCATCTATAAATTCAAAATCAGACGATTGATACCCGCTGCAGTGTTCTGAAATTGAACTAACTGAAGCTATTTCGTCAGCTTCTTTATTTACATTTTTCAATTCCTCAATAAATTCTATAAAACTGTTTAAATAACTATTTTCAACACATTCGAATGATTTTGTACAATGCCCAGTACTTCTTACGTTACAAATAACTTCCTTTGTATCGTTGTCCACATTATCGTCCTTTAGTTTGTTGTCTTCAATGTCTCCGTCCTTATCTTTCTCACATTCAAAACCGTCAAATAAAACTGGCATTATGTTATTTTGTACATTATAGGATAGAGGTAAAGTAGTAAAATATTCGCTCAAAACAGAACTGTTCAATCCAGGACACGGAATGTTGTTACAATTTTGATTCCAAACGTCGGTATCAACACATCCATTGATGTCATTGTCACAGGGGTTACATAGCGACTCATATTTGAATGTGTCTGAAATTGTAGGTGAATTAATATCGTTACTATTGTTATTATCGTTAGTACTATTATTATTACTATCATCGTTAGTGCTATTATTATTATTATATTCATTTTTATTCAGGCCTTTTTCTTTATTAACTTGCTCGCTGTTTATATTCACTTCCAAATATTTTAAACTATCCACGCCTTTGTCTTCATAAATTTCATTGTTATGTGTTTCTATATTTTTTTCATTTTTACAGATCACAGGATGAGAAGAAACATTTTCTGCACTTGTAACATTTTTATTGAAATCTTCAGATAACAATGAATTCTTTTGTGAGTGGTTTAAATTGACATCGACCATTTTTCTCCAAATGTTTCTAGTTATATGAGAGCTCTTGAAAATTTCTATAATGAAGCCTGCTGAAAATTATTGAAATTATATTTAAATTGTCGTGTAGTGGCGGTGTAAGAATATCCACAAACCCATATCGTCACGTCGATGTCGTAAGAGGCGACAGAGGGAAACTGCAACATATGAGCAGCAGCATCTTCCTAATAACACTTAAAATAATAAAAAAACGTTGCCAACCCGCCTGTCAAGCGTGGCAACTATGGCAAAATACCCTGTATGAGGTAATCTATGGGGGACGCCTACAGTGTTCAACAGTGGACTTTTATAGGCTGTAATGGATGGTTTATGGATATATTTAAATCATATTTTTTTCATCACAACGAAAACTTTCGAATTTTGTGAGTAGCTATCATGCATAAGATACACACTACCACAGGCCGCGTTAATTCGTAACCGCTATCATTGACGCAGCTATCTAAACTTGAACGCCTATTCTTACCCGTTATATACATATGTATAATATTATGTGATTGGAAGTAGCCTATGTTATATCGTCATTTAGATACACGACATCGACCAGACTAGAAATAACCAGATCGGGAAACCAATACTTAAATAGTGTTTTGCACTGTTGGAATTTATATATATACATATACAAATTCCAACAATCGGGCAATAATAGGCCGAGAATTGCTAAACATCACTTGTGATTTTAGCAATTCTTTTATTTTATTGATATTTATGTACGTTTACCATGATTATTTACAATTATATATTTATATTTCCCAACCAGATGAGAAAACTTTATAGATACCACATAATAATAAATTTATTTACTTTTTTTACATGCAGGGTATCTTAAACTATTACAGTACTCGTTTTTTTTTTGGCAACGTACTATTAAGATATGGTTGATCGTTAGCAGCTGTACTAGTTTTATGGTAAAAACTATATTACAGATGCTTACATACATACAATACAAATCCTGGCTACTAAGTTCTGCCTGTGCAAATACTCAGAGTTAGAAAGCGCCGAACATCCGGAGATGACATGCCTAAGTGACTCACCGGGATGGCGACAAGCTCGATAAACGTCGACGGTGCCATCCTTTAGGATGTATCTCCGATAATTGTTGGTCTTAATAACCTGATCTTGTATCGCACAGACAAAACCCTCGGTTTCCCCAAAGAGGTCACCGAAACGTAGCCAGTGGAGGGAGGCGACTGTGTCTACGAAAGGCTAGTGTAGAGCCTTGTAGAACCTCCCGTGGAGCTCCTTCTCCTTCCATACGGTCTCCCGGTCGGAAATGCTCTGTACTGCCGGGTCCTGCCATTGCTCGTTGGCTAAGGATAGAGGGGTAAGTCCTTTATTACAAGAAATAACGTCCCTATAGTATGGATCATCCGCTCTCGTCAGAAAGTAATTACGGAGGCTGCACAATTCGCGATTATGCATGGTAAGCGCGCTTAAAAAGCCGCGCCCACCATGCTTCCGCGGCAAGTACAGCCTCATTACAGACGATCTCGGATGATGCATCCTGTGGGACGTCATTATAGTGCGGACTTTTCTGTCAAGAGCGTTTAGTTCGGTCTGAGTCCACCTGAGTATGCCAAAGGTATACATGAGAACAGGCATGATCCAACCGTTATATGCGTGCGTCTTATTCACACCGGACAAAAGGCTGTTAAGCACTTTGGTCAAGCGTGCATAAAACACATCGCAAACTGACTGTTTCATACCCGCCTCATCTACACCGATGTTCTGTGATATACCCAGGTATCGGTATGTTTCAGCCTCGGAAAGGGTCCTTATGTTGATGGGCATAGATAAATCTATGCCCTCAGAGTTAGCAACCCTTCCCCTTTCAACATGGAGGACCGCACACTTATCCGCTCCATTCTAATAGAATTGCTAAAATCACAAGTGATGTTTAGCAATTCTCGGCCTATTATTGCCCGACCTGAAGCTTATCAGCCTGCCGATAAGGGCCCTTGCCTTTACAATACGGTCCTCAATCCATCTTCTCCAGGCTGGGATGGCGCTACTTTGTCTAGTAGTGCGTCCAGCCGTGGGAAGTTTGGCGCCCACAATACGGCAAACTGCCAGTGCGGCGCCAAAAAGAATTGAGTCCGTCTCGCAAAGGTCCCGGCTGACTTCCAAATTGGTCACCAGCATTGGGTTGAGAGCCCTCACGACAGCCCGATTCCCGGTATGCGCGGGAGTCGCGGTCGATTTTCGAGAGGTGTACTGCGCGTTTCCACAATCGTCTCCTCCAATTTACTCTTCATCTGCTCTAGTTCTTGTGTGACCATTCCATCATCGCCTGAATCAACCAGAGCGGGGAGATCCATGGCGCCCTCTAAATGTGGCTGCTGGTCTGTGGCCTGAGGAGCCGCATCCCCAGCTATAGCCGGTTCATTCGATAAGGGAATAGCCTCACGCCGTAGTCGTTCGAGTTCGGCATCAGCAAATATTTTCGAGCGTATGATGTACCGAACTCGGTTTGCCAGGTTTTGCTCTGTGATGGGAACTGACGGCTCAAGCTCAGCAAAAAAGCGATGCATCCGAGCCCGATACGCTATCCCTCCAGTTTCTTCCCCTTTCGCCCTATAGTACGCCCGCAATGCGTTTATGTTCATATTTTTTGTCCAACGCATGCGGCGTACTCCACCAGCGGCGGGTGCCGCTTGCCGAGTCCGAGAGGACCCCGCCGACACCAAGCCGTCTGGTGGGGATGATGGACGCGAGGGGCTGCTAGGTGGTCGTGCAGCACCTCACGCTCGGCTAGCGGCTCGCATGCTCTCGCGTCCAGCGCCAGCTCCAGACGCGCCCCGGCGACCCCCAGACAGCGGCCCTATGCGCGTTCTATTTTTATCCATCATCCATTAATTTGGGCGTCAATTAACGGGAGACGCCCAGACCCGGCGCCGTTTAATAGTGTGGCCGTAAGCACAAACGGGCCTTTGCACCCTCAGTACTGCCGAGGCACGGCTCTCACACCTCTTGGCAAGGCGCTGCCTGACTGCGCTGACATAGCAGTTTTGTCACTTAACTGTTACGTCAGCGGGCGGTTCGTCACTATTATTATTATTATAGAAACGAGAGAGGTGTCTCACGATCGTGTCAAATGGAAGCACGTGGTCTCTGCCTACCCCTTTCGGTGAGAGGCGTGAGTTTTATGTTAAATTATATTACAAACATAATTATATAATAAAGTAATTTAAATTTATAGACTCATAGTTTTTATAAATTGAGTTTGTATAAGCTACCAGTAATACATACATATGTCTAAATATCATATCCAAAATATGGATTAGTACTACAAAAATATAAATAAATAAAACACATGCACATTAAACACCACTAAAGTACGCTAAATAAAAATATATCTTTCAATCATAAGACAAACTAAATCAACAAGGATTAGATTGCAAAACTAGAGGCATTTATGTTTATTACTTACCCTTCTATATATATACACCTAGATGTATTTTCACTTAATATATTACCATAGAAATAACAGTGAAATTAGAAAACAACATCAACACAAAAAGGTAAAAATTTTCGAAGTTGCTTTTTTAATGGAAGGAGGGAAAATATTTTTTTTTTGTAAATTTGACTTTTTTGGTAATGAAATCGTACGGTTGTACTTTTGCCAGTGTCAAGTAATAAGAAATTATCATATAAACTAAATATAATTATTGTTTTCTTGAATTCTTCACAACAATTTGATGCGTCACATTGTGCGTTTTTTGGAAGATTTCGACGTCAGGTTAAGATGGCAGATATCAGTTGCTGACGATAGTATTTAGTCTCACGCCGCCTAAATGGTTGCGTTGATACGTTTTATATTACCATCATGGTGGTAGTTGTTTCATCGTCTCCATAATATTTCTGTAGACATTTAATGCACAAAATCGCACCACTTTTACGTATTACATTACAACCGACATCAATATAAATAAAATGAGAACATCCTCAATGTAGTTGAAGTCGATTAAATACGCATTATTCAGGATAACTCAAAAACTGGTCAGATCTTGATCAATTTATATGGGACCACGTGAGAATGAGAAGCACCAGTTTTCAAATAAAAAAGAATCATCAAAATCGGTTCACTTATAAAAAAATCTGAGGTAACAAACATAAAAAATAGAAAACGAAAGAGGGCTAATAATCTTCCACTCACCAGATGTCGCTAGTTGTGACTGAGGTAAAGTTTTTTTTTACACAATGTCAGTTAATTGAGAAATTAATTTTAAATAATAGTTTATCATTATCTAGATCGTTATATTAATATGCACAATGCGTCAGTGGTTTGATTTTTAATTTTATGCACTTTATAATTCTTTTTTTTTAAATCGGCTGTTAGTTATATTTATAGTTTGGTTTATTCATTTCTAATGTACTTAATATAAAATATAACTAATAATACAGAAAGAAACGTTAAAAATTACATTTTCCTAAGAAATTATCGTACCCGCTATGAAATCTGTCAAATATTTTACCTCACTGTAAAGTGGCGCCGCCCTGGTGGCAGAAAAAGTCGTGGATCATTGAGTACCTCTTCTTTTTTTTAAAGTGAGTTGAAAAATCCACTTCAAAGCATTGTTTTAAAAACTGTAGTTCATCATACAATAGGTAGAAAAAAAACCAATTAAAACTGGTAAATTTATTTAATATTAAATGCAGTTAACATTTCAAGAAAAAATAAATACAAATTAAATGAAAGCCACATCTGCAATTCTATTGATGTTTTAACCTAGGATTTTATTGCAATTATTTATTTATAATTATAATTAATCATAAGTAATAAAATAGGTTTTAAATGACAATTATTTAAAAGTAGGTTAAAATCCTAGTTAAATGGAATAACAAAGATCATCCAGGTTTAATTCCTATTACATATATTAACCTAATAAATAAATATAATGGAAAGCTTTTGTTTGTCACTTTTTACCAGATTTCTTTATTCCACCTTGTGTCAGAGGGCCCTTTTGTGCTTTAGCTTTAGCTTCCTGGAAAACAAAAACAACAGTTATGTTGTCATTTTCAAAAACAAACTTATATTTTGCTGTGCAATTACAAATCCGGATGTTCGCGCAAAACACTGTTGTCGGAGTCGACACCAGATGTCACTCGGCTCGGCGCGATTCCGGTTTGAAGTTCGGCTAGGCGTGGCACGAGCGCGCGAGTCGCGAGAGAAAAGTCAGTCGTCCTTAGACAGTGCTCACGATTGGCACTCTGTCATTTAGTCGTCCATAATCGGTGCTGACGTGAGCACGCGGTCCATTCTGTTAGGGAACTCGGAATAATTAGGCGCGGCCAGTAAATATACGGTCTATCATTGTGACGCGCATTCCTACTGGAGAGCTTCCCGGGACTTATTGTGTCTGACTCAAAACCTGCATAGTGCATTCGACAATATTAGCTAGTGCGGCCTCTGTATTCTAGAATTAACTGTTGCTACGCGAAACGGTAGTGACCTTTAACCCTTTAAACTCCGTGTGCGTTTGTGCGGTAACCATTGTGCCCAGCGATAGTTAGTGGCTTCTGTAAGTTAGTAAATCGTACGATAGAGTTAAGTGACAGTCATCGTGACGAAAGAAGAAAGTGACTGTGGACAACCTCGAAAGGCGCCCTCAAGTTGGAGCGGTGTCGGCGCTCGGGCTGCTGCCGACGGCCAAGGTCTAGGTTCAATAACCATCAGTCACACCCAGCTACACACCACATCACCATTCTTTCCCTTGCACTACACAACCACATGCGACCTGACCGACTCCGGAGGGACCAGTCGCCTTGAATAGGTAAGTAAGCTTCATCCATATTCCTTCCGGTCGACTGGCCGTAGTATAACGCTCCGCCATATATTTTAGTGTAATTAGAGAGATTCCACGTGGCCTTAGGAGGCCCGACCTACGTCTGTTCGGGAGGTCTTCAGCTCATGGGCCCCTGAAGATTGGATCCTTTAAGGGAGCAGCCGTAGGCCGTAACAAACTGGTAGCAGAGCGCGATTCCGGGTTCGATTCCCGGTCGATCCCGACTATAGTGTTTGATAAACATTAAACAATTTTGGTGGCAGGGAGCGTTGGTGTGATTGGTTTAATTTGCATCTACAATCACGCCCGTCCGTAATACGTAAAAATATTTTTTTTGTACGTAATAATAGAATTATTTTCCTTTGTTGCTTTGTTGCTTGCCTTTTTTTTTTGTTTAGAGGGTAATTTGAAAAGCCGCGCCCTAGGTTGTGCAAGCAGGAGTTTTTCTAGAGATATACGTCATGTAGGTAGATGGTTATTTTTACGTAATCGGTTAATTATCGTTGTCGGATAGTTGTAGTGGATTACTTATCGAAGGGTCGATTTCCGAGCTAGGCATTTTTTGTTGATCGACCGTGATGTGTATCTTCGTTTATACTGTAAGTTGTATTTGAACTAAAGAGTAGTAATGGTATTTGCGCCATTTGAATTTAACTTGATTTGATCGCACTAGTATTTGTTATTTGTTAATTTGATTTGTGCCTTTTCTTTTGTGCTAACTTGTATTTGGTTGATACGTAGTAATTCGTATGTGTAATTTCTATTAAACGCGATTTGATAGGAACTGCATTTATTAACTGTTAATTTTTGGTGTATTTTTTATTTGTTATCTTTGTAATTTGTGCTCGAGCCGCGTCGTACTTTGTATTTAATAGTGATGTCATCGCCTAAGCTACTGATCCGTTGTCTGCGGATTGAGTTGCGCTGGGCCACAAGCGCCCATGCTTTGATAGGTCGACCGGATAGGGTCCATAACTTGATGAAGCGGTTCGAGCAGGTGGATGCTCGAAGGGCCGCAGTGGAGGAGGCTTACGCTGAGCTCGAGGATTCGGATGTGGAGAAGGGAGTCCTGGACTCTTGCTTTGCGGACTATGAGCAGTTCTTGTGGCTCACGGACGAGTTGATCGAGGCTGAAGGCAGGTATGCCGAGGAGGCGCGTGAAGCTCGGATGAGTAACCTGCCCGAGTCCTCTCTGAAGCAGCTTCAGCCGGAGCTGTTGGGACGACTCCCAACTCTGGACCTGCCAAGGTTCTCCGGGGTCCTTTCCGAATGGCTGACTTTCGTTGGTCCTTTCGACAGCCTAGTGGACGCCCGGAGTGACTTGACCCCGAGACAAAAGATGGCGTACCTCCTGGCCTCACTGGAGGGGGAGGCCCTGGGCGTCGTCGGCCACTTGAAATTGTCGGACGACGCCTACCAGACTTCTCGGGACCTCCTAGCCAGAAGATACGCCAACGTCCGGCGAATTGCAGACGAGCATGTTAAGCAGCTTCTAAGCCTCCCGCTGCTTAGTGACCGGGCCAGACTGCGTCCGGACCTGTTGGATCCAGTCTTGGTGGCCTGTAATACGTTGAGGCGGCTGGGTTTACCAGTGGGCGAATGGGCCTTTTTGTTGCTCCGCATAGTGCTGTCCCGTCTACCTCTCGACCTTCGAATCCATTTTGAGGAGAGGTACGGCGGGGACGAGGCCTCCTATATTCCGCCCTTCTATGACCTGCTGCGGTTTTTAGAGGAGCAGTGCCGGCAGATCGAGAACGCGGCGGGCACCGTTGACGACTTACGAGACGTGCCCAGTGAGAGGCTGAACCCGCCAGGCAAGTCGTCGTCAACCCCCCCCTGCTCCTATTGTCGAGCATCTGATCACCGGGTAACGTCGTGCCCGAAATTATTAGGTAAGCCGGTTTCGGCTAGGCGAACTATCGCCAAGGAGCGCCGCTGGTGCTGGTCATGTCTGGGAGGGCACCTCCAGCAAGACTGTCCGCATCGACGGCCCTGTCTGCATTGCCAGGGCAATCATCATGCCGTTTTGTGCCTGAGTGCGAACGGCGTCTCCTCTCGGGGCTCTGCCAGGCCCTCGACCCCCACGGGCGGGGGCGCTCAGCCACGCCCTCTGCCGGGCGACTCTCGGCGCCCGCCGGCCAGCCATCAGGCCCCTAAGTTTGAAAGGGGCCCCTCCCCCGACCAGTTGGGGGGTAATTCCCCCAGGGGCGGGGGTGTCATCACCCCCCCTCAGCGTGTGGAGAGGAACTTCACGGCCACTCATCGGTCCGCTGGACCCTTCTCACTTCCGTAAGCTGAGTGGCCGCGACTGGTGTACCACTGTTCCCCATTTGATGGAGGCGGCCCTTGCTAGCTGCCGCCTTAGCTCCCACCACGGCCGCCTCCACTGAGCCTTGAGCCGTCAACAGTCCACTTGTCAAGGTGTTCTGTTGCCGACGTCCTCAGTGAGGCTTATAACCCGTGTGGCGACTGTTAGCAGTCGCACTCTATCGATCTCGGGTTCACGCCATGTGACCTCCCCTTGGTGGTGGGAAGATTAGGGCCCCCCTGGAGCGTTGAATCACGCTGTCAAGGGGTATTAGATTTGGTTTGGTCGAGCACTTAGTCAAAAAATACTTGAATTAAAATTAAAAATTGCTTTGGGCTTTCCGCGAAATTTTCCTATTTGTAGCGGTTTAAATTAAAAGAATTGAATTTAATCTACTCCTTTAAATGCTACTGCATGTGTTTTGTACATATATTTAATCACTGTATTTGATTGTTGCGTCTGTTTGCTGAAAGGAAATTGAATGGCGCACTATTTGAAAAATTATGTTTATGTTTATGATAGTGTTTAATCATTTTGCTTTGCGAAGAAGTAGGGCTGTCCCTTACGTTATTGTTTTGTTTAATTTGCAAGTTGACCTATGCGCATCGGTGATTAATTTGGTTGAATTAATTCTGTAGTTGAACATTGATGCTTTTGAAAAATTAGTTGAAATATGAGCATAGGACTACTTGCCTAACAGGCTAGCTAGTTTTGGAGATTATCAGATTGAAATCAGCTGCCGCACTATTTTAGTAAATGATAATATGGTGGGTGGCCTGGCTAGGCCTACTTGTTGAAAATTCATACTAGGGACTATCTGTGCGTTTCGTTCGGCTCTCCACAGACGACATTCATGTGGAATTTGTGGGTGCGCTCTGCACTGAAGCAACTGCTGGCACAAAATTTGTCTGGGCAGCTTCGTGTAGCGTCGCTGTTTGCAGAGCTGATCCGGTCGGATTGCGGAACTAATCATAGGGGCACAGATAGGTATTTGAAAGAGGTCGTCGGACTTCTGTCCAGTACAGGACTTATTAAAGTGCTGCAATGCCCAGGAGGGGCATCCAATGGAGGCTGACCCTCCGGCTTGCCACCTTAGGGCTATCTTTTGAGGCGTTGATTAGGGTTGCAAGATCTGATGGGTTGCCTAAGGTGGCCTAGTTTGGTTGTAGATTCGGTCTTGCAACTTGCCGTCGCGACCTTGTCTCGCTGCCCAGTTTGCTCGCGGACCTAAATCCTTATGTCCGGGACGGGGGTTTGTTCGCGCAAAACACTGTTGTCGGAGTCGACACCAGATGTCACTCGGCTCGGCGCGATTCCGGTTTGAAGTTCGGCTAGGCGTGGCACGAGCGCGCGAGTCGCGAGAGAAAAGTCAGTCGTCCTTAGACAGTGCTCACGATTGGCACTCTGTCATTTAGTCGTCCATAATCGGTGCTGACGTGAGCACGCGGTCCATTCTGTTAGGGAACTCGGAATAATTAGGCGCGGCCAGTAAATATACGGTCTATCATTGTGACGCGCATTCCTACTGGAGAGCTTCCCGGGACTTATTGTGTCTGACTCAAAACCTGCATAGTGCATTCGACAATATTAGCTAGTGCGGCCTCTGTATTCTAGAATTAACTGTTGCTACGCGAAACGGTAGTGACCTTTGACCCTTTAAACTCCGTGTGCGTTTGTGCGGTAACCATTGTGCCCAGCGATAGTTAGTGGCTTCTGTAAGTTAGTAAATCGTACGATAGAGAAGGCGCCCTCAAGTTGGAGCGGTGTCGGCGCTCGGGCTGCTGCCGACGGCCAAGGTCTAGGTTCAATAACCATCAGTCACACCCAGCTACACACCACATCACCATTCTTTCCCTTGCACTACACAACCACATGCGACCTGACCGACTCCGGAGGGACCAGTCGCCTTGAATAGGTAAGTAAGCTTCATCCATATTCCTTCCGGTCGACTGGCCGTAGTATAACGCTCCGCCATATATTTTAGTGTAATTAGAGAGATTCCACGTGGCCTTAGGAGGCCCGACCTACGTCTGTTCGGGAGGTCTTCAGCTCATGGGCCCCTGAAGATTGGATCCTTTAAGGGAGCAGCCGTAGGCCGTAACACCGGATTTATAATATCTTTGCACAAATAAGTATCTTTACATGTAAGAACATATTATGTAGTTGTAGTTCAAACGGGTCAGCTTGAAGAATCACACATTCACACATAACACACATAATACCAGCATTATTCTCGATGTGTTTCGTACGGTATGTGCTGATAACCGCAGAGCCTTTTCACTAGAAACGAGGCATTCCATTAAAGTTTTAAGGGGTGACAATGTAACTGCATTTTGATTCATAATTGAGGATAGATATATATGTCTATGGGCTACAGCATCCACTTACCAATTCTTATTCAATCTTATTCTATAAAAAAAGGTAACTAAAAAGAAGAAGACTATGGAAAGTGGACACCAACTTTAAAAAAAGATGATAACCGCTGCATTGGCACCCCTGAGTGTTAGAAGATAAATTACCCAACAGTATAGACTCTCAAAATCCTTCAAACCAAAACACATCATTGGATATACTACTGCTTAGTGATACAAATAGGTAAGAGACATCATAGATAAAATAAATGAAATCTAAATAACAGACATATGGATTACATTTAACACTATCGGTTTATCCGGGGTACATTTTATTTGTTTCTTCCTTACAGGAGATTAAGTCACAGCAGAACAAAGGCCTCTCCTATATATTTCCATTAGGGGGATGTTTGCTATAGTTGTCACACTTGGCAGCCAGATATGAAACTGTAATTTTTGAGATGAAAACTTCTTAAGGCACGTTGGGCACTTTTGGGATGAGGAAAAGTACTGAACTCAAGTGACCATCATGCTAAAATTTATGAATGGAATGTTTATATAAATAATAATAATTCTTTTTCATGTAAAACAATGCTATAAATGAAAATTTTATATTAACATGTAATTCGAAATAATTAAAAAAAAAATACTTCGTAAAAAATATTTCTTAACAACCCAAAAATATTGTTTACCTACAAGTTTGTGAAGCTAAGAAGTTATCACTTCTGATGTGCAGTGCTATGACTGACAATTTTTTATTTTTTGTACAGTTGCTCATTTCCCTCTTTTTTATAGGATAAGGGTGACACAAACTAGCACACAGTTCACCTGATGGTAATTAGTTGCTGTGGCTCATAGACATCTGTGTTTATCCACGAGTATGAATCAAAATGCAGACGTGATGTCACCATGAGGACTAAGATGGAATGCCTCATTTCCAATAAAAGATGTCTCCAATTCTCATCTACACTCACCACACGAAACACAGCAGCATTAAGCTGCTATTTGATGCTGGTATTCTGTGAGAGCATGGTCCTTCCTCGGTCGAGCCTACCCATTCGTGCTACAACTATACTACTAATATAGCTGCAGCAAGGCTCTACGACGTAGAAAACATCTAATGACATTTGCGGGATTATATGGCGAATATATAGATTTTCTTATACTGCCATTACACGGCGGACACATAACTGCAACTTATTTATGGACAGATATAACTTTTTTAATCAAGATTACTTCTGAAAAGGAATATTTTTCTTGTCTGCTAGCAAGTATGTTTATAAATATTACTTTTTAAGACTGCTGGGAAAAATAGACTCGCGTAATCTTACATTCGTCCTACTAGTAAACATAAATGCCAACAAAAAGATAAATACGAAATCAAGTAAAAACAACAATCAAGGTTAGAAGTCAGATGTAAGTTCTATAGTTGTTCTTTAAATAAAATTTGACAGAATATCAATAATTACTCATTTTCATATTTTTCTCTTCGTATACATCTTAGGCCGAATTCCAAACTTTTAAATCAACTTGGCTTAGGTTAATGATGAATGAGTAATAACTCAAAAACTATAATAGGTTTGTGGCGGCGCAGACGTCGCGCCACAAGAGAAACGCACCGAAGCCTGAATTGCGCTATCAAAGTTCCGAAGTAAAAGCAGTATTATGTATAGAATAGCTCCAAACAACCACTCTGAGCGTTGATCGCTCCCCTGGCAGAACACCTTGCCTGGCGGGAGATCTTCCCTTTTCCTTTCACGGTCACAGGTTTATTTATTAAAATTGGGATTCTAGGTATTCAAGGGAGCTTTATTGGCCATACAAAATTAGAAGTATGTAGGTTTAATAGTTTTGGAGTTAAAATTGACTGTAATTAAGAAGGATTATATTGCATAAACAACCATATTATTACCTGTAAAGCTTTCTGTTGCTCTTTTAATTTTTGTTTGAGTGCTAGGTCATCTTCATCCATTTCCCTTTGTTCTTTCTTTGGGGCTTTCAGAGGCTTCTTTTTTCCACCTTCACGGCCAGACATCTAGAAATTAAGGATGAAACTAATAAGTATAAAATTCGCATGTACTCAAAAATATTGACTGATAACATGATATTGTCAAAGACAAATTCTAAACTTTTTTTTTATAGGATAAGGGTGAAAAACGAGCACACAGTCCACCTGATGGTAAGTGGTTGCTGTGGCCCATAGACATCTGCATCTATCCTCGATTACGAATCAAAATGCAGATGCACTGTCACCCGTGAGGACTAAGATGGAATGCCTCTTTTCCAGTAAAAAGGGTCTCCAGTTCTCTACACTAAACATACGAAACACAGCATCAGTAAGCTGCTATTTTATGCTGGTATTCTGTGAGAGCGTGGTCCTTCCCCTGTCGAACCGACCCATTCGTGCTACAACTATACCAGTAATATAGCTGCAGCATGGCTCTACCACGTAATTTTTTTTTAAATTTAGGCTTGTCAATAAAAGCCTAAATTTAATAAAAAGTTCAAAAAGTAAGCTCTTATGAATATCAAAATCTACACCATTTCGCAAAAACAAGACCTCAGAGTATAGTAATGGGATTCGGCACTCCAGTAATATTTATGACAACTCGGATTACAAGTGACTTGAATGACTTGGATCACTCGAGTGGCCTGTACCCACTTGAGTGAGAAATCAAGTTGAGACAGGTGTAGCCAATGTATCGTCAACAAAAAAAAAAACAGTTATTTGTAAGTGGTGCAATAAAGTTACAAAGACTTTGGTAATACTATCAACTTCATTTCTCATAATATGAAGAATAAATGACATTCAGTATAAGGATATTAGGGGTGAGTCAAGTTCATCTCATGCGTGTTCTTAAACTACCAAGTTCTGCTTTCACATCTGCCCATTCCAATCCTACATCAGTGAAACGGCGTTTTCAGCAACTACAGCTTGCATGGCGTAATGCATCGCTTACTATGCAAAAACAAGAAAAAATTCTTAAGCACTAATCACAATTATTTATCAAGACTTATACAAATCGTGGAAAAATGGTGTTATCAGTTTTTGACAGGCGAGTAACTCAAGTGAAAAAAGTCACTTGACTTTTATCTTCATTCAAGTGGCACTCGAGTGACTAAGTTATGACTGGTGAGTGACTCGAGTGAAAAATGTTCACTCGAGTTCCATCAATTTTATTAAAAAATATAATATATAATTTTATTAAATAATATAATACAATGATAATTAAAGGTAAAAATCTCAAAATATATCTTTCAAATGTCAGTTTTAACAATAAAATAACATCAGTAGCCTAGGGACTTGCAAGTGCAGAGTAAGGGTTGTCACATATCATTGTCCCTCAATATAAATATTGATCTATTTTACAGTACTCTTTTGACAAAATTTCATTAAGTTTCTTAAAATTTTTATAGATTTACTGAAAAGACTTTTTGGTTTTAGCTTATCTAAATTTAGGAACCTATAGCATATCACAGCGACAATGTTCTATATGAGACAATCCAGGTTTTATAAAATAAATCTACATTTTTTCATATGTACATGATGTTCTAAAAAAAAACAAAAACAGATATATCGAAATATTAGTCTTCTTAAAACTCATGTAACAACTAGCGAGACCCCATGTTGTATATTGCCCGTACTGCTTGCTTTTACAAAATGAACATTGTTTCCAATCCAGCTGTCGATCCTCATGATAATACACCACGAGATGTGATACTGTGTGAAATAAGCAAATTAGATTAATTTAGCTGTTGCATCATTAGTCTGCTTTCTAATTGCTATTAGTTTTAGTAAGTTTGCAGAAGTTAATTTGAAAACTAGTTTATTAGTGTCTAATTCCCACTGGAGCTTGGAATCGATGGGGATTCTGAGAAATACTGTGAAACATTAAAAAGCTTGCTTCAGTAGACAGTCATGTATCAAATATATGATTTTCCTAAAGCGTTGTACTTAATAGCTGATAATATTGACAGCATTCGTTTTAGAGTGTGCAATTATAATGATCAGTAATGTTATTATCATTAGATGTTAACTTGCAAAATTATATTTGTTCCATTCAATCTAAATAAAAAGGAGAAACAAGTGCTTGTTTTCTCTCTTTTTTTTGTATCAAATATGTATCCTAGTTAGTATAAAATGGGGTAATGCTAGTGACAGTCTGTTTGAATACTTTTATAAGAATAAGAATTATTTATAAGTGTAACGCATTTATAAAACTTTTTAACATTCAAATTAATTTTGCACTCGGCTTTAAACGGCGTAGCATTTCTTTATCTACGCCGCTCTGAACGTGTGCATACAAATAAATAAATCAGCATTTAGGACATAACCTATTCAGTGGACAGAACGCAATTTTGACTTTATTTTTTAAATAAATGATTAGAGACCGTACATAATGAACTTAAAATAAACTTAATACTTACTTTCCTTTCAACTTCCTAAACTTAAAAACTTGAAATTTAGTTACACCCAAGGTTCGAAGGATGGGCTAATTTGTGGCAGCTGACAGTAGGGATATTCGATATACATCGATGCATCGAATTCACTCGATGTTTACAATACGATGCATCGAATCGATCCGATGTTTTGGAAAGCTATTAATATACTCGATGTATCGATGTATTTTCATAAAACATCGAATCAATGATAACCAGTCAATTGTAAACAGGTATACTTATCTATCAATATTAATATTATAACTTTTAAATCGGAAAAACTAAAACATGCTCTGATTTAGAAGTTATAATATCTAAACTTGTTGGTGGTGCTAGTTGGCTGCTGTTAGTCCCTTAGCGGAATCAAGAAATTGAGATTGGCTGGTTGTGTATTAAAGAAAATCGTCTGGTCTGTGTCGGTCTTAAGGCGGCTTCTCACTTTCGTGCCGCAGGGAAATCTAGGATTAACAGCGATCGGGGCAATATCAGAACTGTCTCTACACACATGCCTGCCATTCTATGTGAGAGTGTACGTCTCGCTGGACACACGCGTTGAGAATGACTCTAGTTTTATCAAAATATAAATGAATCGGTAAATATAGCCTTGGCTCTTTTTATATAGAATAAGGGTGACAAAAGAGCACAGCCCACCTGACGTTAAGTGGATACTGTGGCCCATAGACACCCATATTTATTGATAAAACAACTAAATTAATTAATAATTACACATAACACAGTCTTTAAAAGCTGCAGTATGACTCTACCACGTTTAAAAACGTTACGACGTTCAGATAACGTTCTTTCTGCGGTGCTACCGCAAAAAAAAAAAGACAAAAAGGAGATACTGGGTGAAGATGCCGCCACTTTATACACTTCTATCACCAGTGTCCAAATTTCATATGTTTTATTGGTATCCATTATGACGTGTGCTGCATGCGAAAGTCGCTTACGAACTGTTTGAAATTGCCCCATTTGCGTTACACATGTGGCGTGGTAGCTATGATATAGGGAGCAAGGAAGGTCTTGCGCCCATGTCGCTCTGCCGCAGAGCCGACTTCGAAAATTGCCCCTGCTTGCATACACACATCACAATTAAGGAGGCAATTAAGGGTCATCCCCACTCCTACACCCTAGGTTGCCCCTGCAGCAGGCAAGTGATACCCGCCTTAAGACCATTTAACCTCAGACTCATCTCGCATAATTATTCCCTTCTGCCAAGGTATTGGATTAAAAAGCTTGTGCGTTTATGAAAACTGCTTACGAAATCGATTTTATTATTACAAGAATCGTTTCCGCCGAAGTAGGTGCTCTTTAAAAAATACCGATCGGTGCGATCATAAAGCAGTCAAAATACTTAAAATTTACAAAAGATGGAGTTATATTCCATATGTAAGTATTTTTATTGTGATGCATGCTTTTTTTCTATTAAAATCATTTAAAATAATATCGTAAACATTGGCCTACTACTAAATGGACCTCGGATCTGCACTCAAGTGTCAGAGTCAAAAGAGTTCCAAAATGCAAAAAGGGTTACAATTGCGCGCCAGTCTTCGTTTTGTCGATTGATAATACACTTCAAAATTACTGTATCACAAAACGAGCAAAACTATTTATATTTATATATATTTTCGATAAGGACTATTTTAATAATTTAAAAATAATATTTTGCTTAGATACAACATACGTAGTATTTTAATTTAATTCACATTAATTGTAAAAACAAAAAATCAAACCGATAATTTTCGCTAGAAGCTGCATAAGATGAAAACAGCTTCTGGTTGTAGTTGAAAGGCTGCTAAATTGTCGCAAGTAAGATTATATATATATATATAATACGTTTTTATAGGTTGACTCGGGACACATTTTTCGTGAATTTTGTTCTAGAGCCGCCGTCTATTTAGTAGTAGGTACAATGACTAATGATCATTAATAATAATTTATTTATTCTTTATTGCATTCCTTAATATAAAATAATACAAAGGGAGAACTGAAAATGTGTAGCAGAATAGAATAAAAACAAAATAAAAAATAAATAAGATATATATAAATTTTACTAATATATAAAATAAATAAATACAAATACAAATAGTATATATAATTGACTGGGAGAGAATGCCTTAAGGCATTGAGTCCGCCATATATACGATTTTTCTTTTGTGCATAAAAGTAAAAAAAATAAATATATAAATATAAATAACTATGAACATATTCGACTGTTAATAATAATATTCTTAAGATTAAGATACTTTGTGTTTCGTGCAATAAAGAATATCTATCTAACTGTCTTACATCCTTGAACACTCAAATACACACACTCACACACAAACACATTCACAACGCGTGCGGACAAAGACAGTGCCGATGTAAGAGTAGATCATTCAAAATTGTCGATTGTTTGAATGGGGATGTCAGGAAGTTGACTACAGATTTATAATGTAAAGTCATAAAAAGTACTCGATGTTGCAAAAAAGGTCGCTCAGCGAGCTATGGAGAGGGCTATGCTCGGAGTTTCTCTGCGTGATAAACTCAGAAATGAGGATATCCGCAGTAGAACTAGAGTGACCGACATAGCCCAACGGATTAGTAAGCTGAAGTGGCAATGGGCCGGCCATATAGCTCGAAGAACCGACAACCGATGGGGAAGAAAGGTTCTCGAGTGGCAGCCTCGTACCGGCAGGCGAAGTGTAGGGCGTCCCCCCACTAGATGGAGTGACGACCTGGTAAGATATGCAGGAAGTCGATGGATGCAGGTGGCTCAGGACCGTGCTTTGTGGCATTCTTTGGGGGAGGCCTATGTTCAGCAGTGGACTTGTGAAGGGCTGTAATGATGATGATGATGATGATGTTGCAAAAACATCGATGTTTCTAACCGATGCATCGAAATATATCGATGCACAGTCTCGATGCATCACATCGAAAAAAAAACATCGATGTATTTTCAAAGTGGACACCCCTAGCTGACAGTAACGGTTCAGTGTTGCCAGATGACTGCCCTAGGCAAAGAGAATATAATCACTACGTTTAGCCCTAAGAGTAATAGTGTTCTGTGGACGACTGTCTCATATTCCTCCCGAGTTATGTATAAAATTCATTTAGCATTCAGGTTTTCAACAGAAATAAAACTCTAAAATTAGACAAAATTTAAATACTCTTCAAATATTAAATTTCGGTTATGATGATGCCAATATATTCTTTAGTCGAATATTGTAGACATTACACACCAAGCTTCAACGAGCAATAACTTTGAATATACATAATATAATATCAAAACCACTTCACGTCAATGTTATTGTCATTTATTTATCAAATAACGCGACCATGGAAATACCAGGAAATACATGTACTACGTTTGTCTATACTTCCGTGAACGCGACTGATGCGAAATCACCGCAGTACACACTCGATGGCACAGAGTACATTTATATAAACTCGTAGGTGCGACGTGAGGCATGACAGGTAAGTAGGAGTAGTTCGTCTGAGTATTGAATAGCTTAGCAATATTCGGACCTAAAGCTAAAGGCGGGGGAAAGGTGTTTATTTAAATTATATACATAATAATTTTTAAAAATTACTATCATAGATTTTTCTGCCTGGAAATCTTCAAAAAGGTCATATCCCCCTAAAATTCTTCCCTTAACTCTAAAAATTCTCAAATTTGGGAAATTTCCTCCAATCTCGCATTAGTGTACTTAACGCACAGAACACGATTATTCTAGGTAGAGAGTAATTGCAATTTTGTTGTGCAAGATTCTCGGATTTCATACAATGTTGATCATCCTGACCCATCCTAACCTAAGGGTTCTACTTTTTCTTACAACGGTAATGGACGCGTACTGTTGTACTTTTGCCAGCGTCAAGTAATAAGAAATTACCCTTGTTAATATTTTGTTTTTGTATCACTTGAGGTTTACATTTGCCGTATAGTGGCGGTCAAGAATATCCACTACCCCATATCTTCCCGTGAGTGTCGTAAAAGGCGACAACGGGAAACAGGCAGGTGATGGGCAGCAGCATCTTCCTGATAATAGCCAAAATTACAATAAAAAAACTGCGGTTGCCAATCCGCTCGCCAAGTGTGGCAACTATGGTAAATACCCCCCAATGATTAGAGCAACAAACAGACGACCCCCAGTCCCCGGCGGCCCGGCTATTCCTGGCTACGGTGGCGACCATGGTAACGGCGGGGCAGGGGGTTCTAAGAATCTCCGGTGGAGGTTCGGTTGCCACCTTAGACGACTCGACCTGGCAACGTACAACGCACGCACCCTGAGGACTGACGAGAAGATCGTGGAGCTGGAAGAAGAGATAGACAAGTTGCGCTGGCATATTATAGGATTATCCGAAGTCCGAAGAGAGGGGGAGGACACGGTAATCCTCGAATCCGGCAACTTGCTCTATTACCGGGAGGGCGACCATCTGTCCCAAGGAGGTGTCGGATTTATCGTCCACAAGTCTCTCGTTAACAACGTTGTAAAGATTGGGAGTGTGTCGACGAGGGTTGCGTACCTTATACTCAGAATCACCAAACGGTATACGCTGAAAGTCATACAGGTTTCCGCACCAACCTCGGCACACCCCGATGAGGTGGTGGAGGAAATGTATGAGGATATCTCTAGAGCCATGCATTCCTCCAAAACCTAATATACGGTGTTAATGGGAGACTTTAATGCAAAACTAGGCACAAGAGAGAACGGTGAGCTGAAAGTAGGGAAATTTGGAATAGGGCAAGGGAACTCTAGGGGCCAGCAGCTGGCCGACTTCATGAAGAAAGAGGGACTGTTTATGATGAACTCTTTTTTCCAGAAGCGGCCCCACAGGAAGTGGACCTGGTCGAGCCCCGATGGTTCGACAAAAAATGAGATTGACTTCATTGTGACGACCAGACGACAACTGTTCAGTGATGTCTCCGTGATCGCGAGGGTGAAAACTGGTAGCGATCACCGAATGGTTAGAGGCACACTGAACCTAAACGTTAAGTTGGAGAGGTGTCGTCTAATGAAGTCAACGCTTCGTCCCCCTCGTGCTCTGTTCCAAAGTCCCGAAACCTTTCAGCTCGAGTTACAAAACCGTTTTCAGTGCCTAGAAGACTGCAATGAAGTGGACGATATGAATGACAAGCTCGTGGAAACTGTCCATGCGGTCGGAGCTAAGTTCTGCAAGACCCGCCGCAGAAGAAGACAAAAACTCTCCGATCACACTCTTAATCTCATGGCTGTTAGACGGGAGATGAAGCTACATTCTTCAACAGATTTGACAGCATACAGGACAGACTGATCTCCAAATGTATGCGGCGGGACTTGCGCAACTTCAATACAGCTTGTATTGAAGAAGCGATCGAGTGGAACCAAGGCTCCAAAGACTTTGCCAGAGATCTGTCTGCCAGAAAGAGCCAACTGTCAAAGCTGAAGACCGAGTGTGGCATTGTGGGAGCACCTTAAAAACGGCAAAGCCCCAAGTGAGGATGGAATTACAGTGGAGCTTCTGAAAGCGGGTGGAAAACCGGTACTGGAAGTCCTTCAGAGGCTCTTTAATTTCGTTCTCCGTGGTGGCATTTTACCGGAGGCGTGGAGCAGAAGTGCGGTGGTCTTGTTCTTCAAAAAAGGTGACAACGCACTCTTGAAGAACTACAGACCGATTTCCCTTCTGAGCCGCGTCTACGTGCTGTTTTCGAGAGTCATTACGAATCGTTTCGCACGCAGACTTGACGACTTCCAGCCTCCCGAACAAGCCGGTTTCCGAAAGGGCTTTAGCACCATAGACCACATACATACCCTTCGGCAAGTTGTACAGAAGTCCGAGGAGTACAATTTGCCACTATGCCTGGCGTATGTGGACTATGAGAAAGCCTTTGATTCCGTCGAAATTTGGGCGGTGCTGCAGTCCCTTCAGCGGTGCCAAGTTGACTGTCGGTATATGGAAGTGCGGAAGTGCTTGTACAGTAGAGCTACGATGGCTATCCGACTACAGAACCAGAGTACGAAACCTATCCAATTGCAGAGAGGTGTAAGACAGGGTGACGTTATATCCCCGAAACTCTTCACCACTGCATTGGAAGACGTTTTCAAGCTTCTGAACTGGAAAGGATACGGTATTAACATCAATGGCGAATACATCACTCACCTTCGATTTGTCGACGATATAGTCCTTATGGCAGAATCGCTGGAGGACCTAAGTACTATGCTCAATGACCTCAACAGTGTCTCCCAACGGATAGGTCTTAAGATGAACATGGACAAAACAAAGATTATGCTTAATGTCCATGTCACACCTATGCCGGTAGTTGTTGGGAGCACTAAGCTTGAAGTTGTTGACGAGTATGTTTACCTGGGACAAATAGTCCGACTAGGTAAGTCCAACTTCGACCGAGAGGTCAATCGACGGATTCAACTCGGCTGGGCAGCGTTCGGGAAGCCACGACACATCTTCTCGTCAGACATACCTCAAAACCTTAAAACGAAATTGTACAACCAGTGCGTGTTGCCAGTGATGACTTACGGATCTGAGACGTGGTCCTTCACTGCTGGCCGTATGAGGAAGCTCAAGGTCGCTCAGCGAGCTATGGAGAGGGCTATGCTCGGAGTTTCTCTGCGTGATAAACTTAGGAATGAGGACATCCGCAGTAGAACCAGAGTAACCGATGTAGTGTTATGCTACTTACATATCATTTTACATTATTTTAAATTCATTTTTCCATTCTGTTTCGATTTTCTGCATTCACCTCAAAACTGGATATTTTACATCACCTTTATTTCCATAGGATCCTGTAACGATTTTAAACCATAAGAACACAATAACAAATCATTTCTACTTCGTATTTTCACATTATCAGCACTTTTAAATTGGTGTCAATGGAGTCTACCTTTTTTCGATCTTTTAGCTAGTTTTCCGTAACTCTACAATCTTGGGCTTTGTGTGGGCAGCTGCGCTACCTTTTTTCCTATATCAATAATATCTCATTTTCCACTTAAATCTTGCCGTTTTCTTATTATAAACCTAAAACCAAAATTTGACATGTTTTGTCATTGTTATTTATTTCGTTTCCATAGTAATTATATTCAAATTTGCTACCGATCTGTTGTTCCTATTTCGATAATTCCACATAAATACTCTTTTCTCTTGACCATTTACAAAAAATTTGCGTTTAATTTAAATAATTTTTCCGTTCTCTCTAGAAAGGTATAAAAGCCGAACAATCGGTGAAGAAAGGCAGTCTCGCTTCAGTTCGCGAATTGGAAGTATCTCCTAAAGGCCTTATCCCGGGGCCGCACTGCCCCGGGATCCTGCAAGCCTCCACCTACACGTGAAGTCTTCGGCGAAGCCTTCTTCAAACGCGGAGCCGCACCACTCCGGAATCCTACAAGCCTCCATCTACCTCGGAAGTCGCTTCGAGTCTACTACAAGCGCGGGGGCCACACTACTCCGGGCGCTACGACTGCTTACTCCAGGCGCCGAGAGCACCTACCGCCGGCGCTACCTTTGGGCGCTGCAACTGCTTACTCCAGGCGCCGAAAGCACCTACCGCCGGCGCTACCTTTGGGCGCTACCTTTGGGCGCTGCAACTGCTTACTCCAGGCGCCGAGAGCACCTACCGCCGGCGCTACCTTTGGGCGCTGCAACTGCTGGCTCTAAGCGTTGTGCGCACCTACTCCAGGCGCTACGTGCGCCGGCTCCGGACGCTGTGTGTGCTGGCTCCAGGCGCTGCGTGCCGTCGCTGCTAAGAAACTTACCTCTACAAGCGCAACCGGCGTGTGCTGGCTTCAGGCGCTGCGTGTCGTCGCTGCTAAGAAACCTACCTCTACAATCGCAACGTGTGTCGCTTCGATTTTTAGGCCCCACTACATCTCTTTATTCCCCTATTCTCCTACCTTTATATTTTTTTTGTAATCTAATTGTACTCTCACTTCATTCATCATCATCCTCATTTCATTTTTTTATAAAATTGTAAATATCTTTGAATTTTGAATATATTTTTGTTTTTGTTGTATTTTTGTTGTTTTGTTGTTCTTAGGTTAGATTTATTATTGTCGCTTCACGACACCGACATAGCCCAATGGATTAGTCAGCTGAATTGGCAGTGGGCCGGCCATATAGCTTGAAGAACCGACAACCGATGGGGAAGAAAGGTTCTTCAGTGGCAGCCTCGTACCAGTAGGCGAAGTGTAGGGCGACCCCCCACGAGATGGAGTGACGACCTGGTAAGACATGCAGGAAGTCGATGGATGCAGGTGGCTCAGGATCTGGTATCGGGTCATCAAAGTGCAACGTCTTTGTTCTGTCTGGGGGAGGCCTATGTTCAACAGTGAACTTATGAAAGTCTGTAATGATGATGATGATGAGGTTTACATCACAATAGGATCATTTGTTTTATCGTTTACACAACCCAGTCACACAACAAGATCAGGTGATTTTTTCACAATTCCTTGTAAAGCGTCTCCCTTACACAAGCGGCTTGCGGTGGCGGCCAGTTGTATTCGCTTGCAATGTGTGAGTCTGCAAGCATGTGCGGTTATGTCGCGGCCTACAAGCGGCTGGCCACGGCAACATACCCCCCCCCCCTCTGCTACCGCATGTGTGTGAGTGAGCACGCAGCCTATCGGTGGCAGCAGCGCGGTCAGTTGCAAATTTTTACAACAGGCTGCGTGTACCGCGTGAAAAATGGCGCTAAATACAGAGATTTTAATAGAAACAGTGCAAAATTATTCAGTACTTTATGATACTTCACACCGTGATTATAGAAGCATTAGGATTAAAAACAAAATATTGAATAATATTGCTGAATATATAAGAGTAATAAGATAAAAGAAACCATAGCAAATGGCACTTCAGGCCGCCAGTGCAACCGCAATGGTGTGTTGTTGCAGCGGCTCAGTGCTCAGGCCACTGCTCAGTGGCTCACGGTAAGCCGCCAGCTGCCGCCACCGCAGGCCGCTTGTGTGTGAGAGACGTTTTATAGAGGTCATTTATGCGACTTAAAATTAATTGATATAGTCAATAAAATTAAAAACACACAAAAAGAAAAGACACCAACACCGTGGTGCATTTTGCGCATTGTCTTATTATTTTATATTTAGGTCACCTCACCTATCAAATAACCGTTTGCTGAGAACTGAATAGTTTAAAGTTCAAATACAAGGTGCATTCGAAAAGTTCGATGAATGGCGTTAGAAAATAAAGGAAATAAGAGTTTCTATGTAAATACTTTTATTGGCCACCTTTACAAAGGATGTAATTGTAAAGCTCTTCGAAACTGTCAGCAAACGCTTCTCGTGGAATCGCTCGAAGCACCGTGATCATGCGATAATGGAGATCCACCACGTCTGTGTGCGTAAGCCTTTAAGTAAAAAAAAGAAGTTTACTGGAGGACCAGCGAGAAAGTCTAGCATAGCAGTGTACCTACGGACGGGCGTTTTCTTGGAGGAAATGTCACTGTCACTTGTGGAAATGTCACTCTGTACCAGCACAAATCTTTTTCTTTTTTAAATGTTCATGAGTAATAGTGTTTACACTGTCTTTGCTTATTTTCAACTCTTCTGCTTCTATTTTCAAAGACATTACCCGTCGATCCTTCGCAAGCATTGTCGTACTCATTCGATGTTGTCTGGAATCGTGCTTGTTGGCGGTCGACCCGAACATGGCTTCTCTCCTAAAACTTTCCTTTCCGTCTCTAAAGTGTTAAGCCACTCACTTTTTACGCATTGCTAACCTTAGCTTGTAATAACAATATTCCATGAGCAAAAGTTCATGTTAGCTCGTTGATAAAAGTTTAATTTTATAGCAAAACAAATGTTACAATCCTTATTTTTAGACACGTAGAGCCTAATTTTTTTTGTATTAAATCAAAAGAAAATTTATTTCGACTAAATTGCTTTGTAATAGCGACGTCTACTTCATTCTATAAGTAAAATCGTTTTATCGAACTAAAATTAGATGGCCTAAACACGGCTAATTTAATATAAATCTGTATGATATTATGAAATCGTAAATTGTTAAAAATAGTGTGGATATGGTAATTTTATTTAATATAATTAATTTTATTTATTTGACAATAAATTTGTAATTTTTTAAATTATTAATTTTATAGAGGCGTACACTACTGGTTTCTCTTGGTTCTCATTGGGTGGCTAGGCGCCGTGTGCGCGCGGAGTCGAGTGTTGAATTATTTAAATTTTTTATTATTTCTTAAACTATGCCTCCACATGACATGTTATAAAGAGCAAAGTTTATCTATATATAAAGTTATCTTAATGATGAAGTAACATTCGTTCGTAAGGATTAATAAGCCATGCCTAATAATAACGTTCATAAATCACTTTTTAATTTTCAATATTTTTTAGTCAGTTTAGTTTACCCTATTGTTGCTTAAGTATAAGAAATAGGCCTATGATATTTTTTTCTATATTTCTTTTATTTCAGAGGGAGGAAAGATCTGTATTTTTGTAGAACATAGTATTTACGTATCAGTGCCATTCCTTCATACACAAAAAGAATTTATCAAATCGGACTAGTAGTTCCAGAGTTAGGGTAACCGTGTTTAAACAAACGAAAAACCTCTTCCGCTTTTTTATATTAGTACAGATTCTATCTTATTCTATCCTACAGATTTATATATTTGTCTCTTTTTAGTGTCGCGTTGTAGTTTCACTTCAAAAATGTCACGTTTTATTGTAACGTTTACCGCCAGGGCTGCATGAGTACAGGTACTATTATTTAACCTACTTATTTAAAATATAAAATAAAAGAAGAATGATTTGCCGTAAAGAAGTTTCACTTCGTACTTGTGTACACAATTACACGCACAATTTTTTCATCAGCTGATGTTTATTTGTCATGATGTGTCAACATTGACGACAGGCATCAAGTAATTAGCGCGTTCAAAAAGAGCACAAAAACAGCAAACGTCCTTTCAAATTAACCGGGTGCATCCACAATGTGACGAGGTTTCGGAATTCTAACCCGAAAGCAAAAGCGAGGTCGAAATAAAAGGGGAGCTGTAGTAAACACGCGGCAGCGACAAATTGCGTTTGAAGGCTTGCGCTTGGTTCCTGCATGCACTTAGTTGCGTCACACGTGCCTTTATATAGACCGTTGTTACACCGTAGCGTAATTTATCTTTTAGTCACGAGCGAAATAGTGAGTCGTACGTAACTGTAATGGAGATAATACGTGAACTTTGCTCTTAATATTAATCTGGTGTATTATTGGCGGAAAATCCGACTTTATATGCCGTATCCAAATCCAAAGAATGGAGCGCGTAGGTAGCGGCGTGGTGATTATGTATGATGTTCATGAAATGTATGCCACATTCTTGAAACATATAAAAATTAAATAAAGAACGTAGTTTTTTCAAAACGCATGTCAGCTGGTGCAATTTAAGAAAGGCTAACATCCAACTGTGGACCTAAGAGGCTGATGACTATGATAACTACGACTGTGAGAAAAGAATCCGCTTTTAATTTAATGATGACTTATTATGTATATTTCTAGCCTACTTGTAGTCGGAACCTTGATTACAAGAAGTCGATGGATGAAGGTGGCTTAGGACAATGCTATGTGGCATTCCCTTGGGGGAGACTTATGTTCAGCAGTGAAATAGTGAAGGGCTGTAATGACAATCATGATGAAGGTTCTGATTACAGATTGTATCTTTTGGTAATACATAATTTTTTCTTCAAGGAAAGTATATTTTCAATAAGAATTCACAATTTCAACGTCGGTGTCATGTTTTGAAAAATATCGAAACTGTTGAAAGATTAAGAACAATTTTAACAGAGCAAGCTTACAGTAAATATAAAATAACACAGAGGTGCTTATTTTTCTTTATCTATCATATTCTTAGAACATATCTAAAATCGATTATACTACATGTTTTTATACACACGTTTTACGGGGACATTAATAATACGTTTAGATCTGAAATGTAACTTCTTTTTAGGGTTCCGTCGTTACAGAACAAAGAACCTTTATAGTTTCGCCATATCCGTCTGTCCGTCCGTCCGCGGTTTTGCTCTGAGATCCTACATGCTACAAATCTGTAATTTGGCATAGTTATAGATATTAATCACGCCTAGATAACTGTGAAATATAATCTTAAAAAACATTTTTATTTTGGGTACTTCACATACAAGTAAATGGAGAATGATTATTTTTACCCGTCTATTCCATCATGTGGGGCATCGTTGGATAGGTCATTCAAAAACATTGGGGGTTCAGGGGTCCGTTTGCGAAATATTTAGCTTTAAAATGGTATTTTTCAGTCATAGTTCAGAGTCATGGGAGGACACCTACCAACTAAACAGCTGCTTTGGAAATGTGAAAAGTATACACGATAGTAGTAAATATAATGAAGTTAAAAGGAAAAGTATCACAGCTAAGTAGAGTTAAGAAGTTAACGAGTAATTGTCGACCAACTTATAAAATGCACTTGGATTAGTAAAAATTTCGTTACAATCTATCATATATGTATAGACATTGTAGTGTTATTGTAAACTGTTAAAAATAAACATTTTATGAAGGAAACGACTTATATGTATTACTATTCTTAGCTTTATTTTTTCATTTGCGGGATAGATATTGTATTATTATCAAAATCGAAAATCTTTTTTGAGTACCACTCCATATAGGGCTGATTTGAAAATAAGCCCTTCTTTTTTTTGTAGGATAAGGGTGACAAACGAGCACACAGTCCACCTGATGGTAAGTGGTTGCTGTGGCCCATAGACATCTACATCTATCTTCGATTAAGAATCAAAATGCAGATGCATTGTCTAAGATGGAATGCCTCGTTTCCAGTAAAAAAGGTCACCGGTTCTCTACACTCACCATACGAAACACAGCAGCGTTAAGCTGCTATTTTACGCTGGTATTCTGTGAGAGCGTGGTCCTTCCCCGGTCGAGCCGACCCATTCGTGCTACAACCATAATATAGCTGTAGCATGGTTCTACCACGTACAAAAATTTCCTTCAGTTGCGATTTTCCTATTTGGGCCCATTAGCGGTCAAATCGCGAACTCACTTATTATGCTCATTATCAAGGAAGCCCACCTATTGTGATGGGCAACTACAGAACCCTACCGTACGTTGCCCTACGAAACGTACTTGGCCAGTTTTTTAGAACAAAATCTGTAAGTCACAATTAATTTAACATTTATTAGATTCGATTAGTATTTAACTTAGTCGGGTTGGCTAACGTCTAACAATAACAAGTTATTCGGTATGTTGAAATAAACTAGAAATAAGAATAAGAAGAAATCATGCAATAACATATTATTATATTATTTTGTTGTATTTACACAATAGTCTGTTTTCCTTCATTAAAAATTATAACTAGAAACTTTTCAAGGAATAATTAAATGTAATTTATGGAACAATATATATTGGAAGAATTCGGTGTGAGAGGAGGCCTCTTTCTGTGTGTCCCGGAAAAATGTACACTGTATTATGCACACTAGTGTAGGGAGACTTTGTTTTATTTTCACAAAGGCTTTTATATCGGAAGCTGTGATAAAATAAAATGAAATAAAGACGCCTTTGCTTCGGATTTATTGAAACTTAGAGATTGTAAATCGGGCGCTCGAGGCCGAACGTATTTACATATTTTTATGAGGGAGTTCAAAGGATTTAATTTTATGTTAGGAGATTTTTAGCTTTTAAGGCATATGAACTAGTTAATTATAAGAAAGATATACCTATCTATGGATACATTCATTCGTTCGTTATAGTTACAGCCCCATCACCAGTCCAAAGATGAACATATTTTATACGTGGTAGAGCCATGCTGCAGCTATATTAATAGTATAGTTGTAGCACGAATGGGTCGGCTCGACCGGGGAAGGACCACGATCTCACAGAATACCAGCGTAAAATAGCAGCTTATCGCTGCTGTGTTTCGTATGGTGAGTGTAGAAAACCGGAGACCCTTTTTACTGCAAAAGAGGCATTCTATCTCAGTCCTCACGGCTGACAACGCATCTGCATTTTAATTCGTAAGCGAAGATAGATGTACATGTCTATGGGCCACAGCAACCACTTACCATCAAGATGGACTGTGTGATCGTTTGTCACCCTTATTCTATATAAAAAAAATAACATAGACCTCCCTTATACATTTGCTTATAGGTTATAGGGTGTTGTCACTGCCAACAGGCGGGATGGCAACGTCCGTTTTTTATTACTTTGGGTTGTAATAATCTTGTTTCAATTTCCCTCTGTCGTGTCTTATAAGACCTACGAGATGATCCATCGACTCACTGCGAATAGTACGTTTTACGTGGTAATTGTAACACGAATATTTCGGCACGGCCGAGGTAGGACCACGCTTTCACAGAACACCAGTGTAAAATAGCAACTTAATACTGCTGTGTTTCGTATGGTCTGTGTAGAGAACCGGAGACCCCTTTTACTGGAAACGAGGCATTCCATCTTCGTCCTCAGGATTGATAACGCATATGCATTTTGATTCGTAATCGAGGATAAATGTAGATGTCTATGTCCAGCAGGTGGACTGTATGCTCGTTTGTCACCCCTTATTCTATTAAAAAAGAGTAGTAAGGTTAATAATTATGAATAACTTTTAATATATTTCTGTTTGTAGTAGAACCACAGCACGAACACACCGAATGGGTTGCTCGACCTGG